ATGACATCAATACAAATTTTAATATTTTTGGTCTAATATCTATCTACTTAAGGCATAGTGTTGGCCTGGTGACTTCACCGTGAGAATCTCATCCTTGAGGTAAGTTCGGCTCGGCACCGATGGACTTGCCGTCTATGAGCGCATTTAACACTTGCTCGTACGGTGAAGGAAATCATCGTGAGGAAACCGGCATGCCTTAGAGCCAAAAGTCGACCGTGTTTCAGGCACAGAAGGCTGATTAGAAGCCTATTAGAAAATACAAACTATCTACTAGTAGGTACTTTTTTTAAAAGTGTTTTTTCAATAACATGACACTGAAGCCCATTTGCCACGGAACGTAGGTATTACTTCCCCGATGTATTAATTAATGAATGGTTTAAATACGAGAAGGTACCTCAATTATGCGTAGGTAGGACTGAATGGGTGGGAGCTGAGTAAGCCTGTACAATCGTCAGTAGGACCAGCAAACTGTGATGTCGATGTCGATGGCAAAGGTAAAATCACTATTTCCAGGATATCATTATGGCTGAGACAAAAGTCGCCATGATGATCGCCATCCTCCGAAAGGAGTTGACACTATAAGAAGATATCTTAATTATATTTAGTATTAATTTATTGGTCCCTACAACGTGTATGCTTAAAAGATAGAGGAAAATGTGACATCACAAATTTAACACATACACATTATATTAAAACATAAAAAATTTCAAACTAGCAAGGAAAAAAAACATAAGCAAACCGTAAAATTTAAAACTTAAACCTGATAAATAGGCCTCATTCATCCATCTTATCTATATATCTATCCATCTTATATATATATTATAATTTTCGAGGATTCCTACAAAAAATTAATACGTTTATGTACTATTATTTTTGAGAGCTTTGCTTACTTTTGCTGACAAGAGAAGGGGGGGGGGATAAATTGCAGTAAATCTGCTTACGTAATACTTGAACGGCCCTTTAGTAATTAAATTGGATTCGTAAACGTGGCCGTCCTATAGATATCCTAAGTTGAAGTCAAAAGTATTTCAATAAACGTGCTACGAAACGATCGCCCCGTGGACGGCCTGAGACCCAAGTTGATAATGAAGTATTGAAGGCTATTGTGGAAGCGGATCCATCGCAAACCACGTCCGAGTTAGCTGCAGGCTGCGGTGTTAGTGATAAAACTGTTTTAATTTAATTGAAGCAAATTGGGAAGATTAAAAAGCTTAAAAGATGGGTACCTCACGAATTGACTGAAGCGGACCGGCAAACGCGCGTCGACTGCTGCGTTACATTACTGAACCGGCACAATAATGAAGGTATTTTAAACCGAATCATTACCTGTGATGAAAAATGGATTCTTTACGATAATCGAAAGCGCTCAGCGCAATGGTTTAATCCTGGCCAGCCAGCCAAATCCTGCCCCAAGCGAAAATTAACCCCAAAAAAGTTACTTGTAAGCGTTTGGTGGACTAGTGCCGGTAGGTATTGTTCATTGCAGTTTTCTCAAATATGGCCAGACTATTACGGCTGATGTCTATTGTCAGCAATTGCAAACCATGATGGAAAAGCTAGCGGCTAAACAACCTAGGCTGGTCCATCGCTCCTCGCCACTGCTACTTCACGACAACGCTAGACCACACACTGCACAACAGACGGCTACCAAATTAGAAGAGCTTCAATTGGAATGTCTAAGACATCCTACGTACTATCCTACATCCCCGGACCTTGCTCCAACAGATTACAATTTTTTCGAAATTTTGACAACTTCTTGCAAGGGAAAAAATTTAACTCTGATGGGGCAGTCCAAATCGCCTTCACAGATTTTATTGATTCCCGTCCGACTGGTTTTTTTAGTAAAGGGATCAATGAACTACCTATGAGATGGCAAAAGTGCATAGAAAACAATGGTTCATACTTTGATTAATTAAATATATTATATTTAAAAATATTCGACTTTTTGTTCCTCCCATACAAAACGCCAATTTCATATGTAAGGACCTAATATATAAGATATACACAGTAATCAATTTCGTAGAACTTTTTGATTTCAGTGAGTCTCAAAGAAGGTCGAGCGTTCACTTTCCGTGTAACAATTGTATATTTTTCTACGAGCACCTGTTCATACAGGTAAAGCAAACATCCTGATAAACCGGCATGATTTAGACCCAAAACTCGACATGTGTCAGGTTTAGCGGCTGTTGTTTTTAGATAATAAATGATACCCATAGACACTCCAGAGGGCTCGCAAAAACGCTGCCGGCCTTTTAAAAATTGGAACGCTCTTTTCTTGAAGGACCCTAAGTCAAATTGATTCGGAAATATTTCAGTGGGCAGCTGGTTCCACGATGGAGACTCACTGTGGACGCCCTCTGCCCCAACTAGGGGTTATAGGACATTAAGTCAAGTAAGTCAGCTGGTTCCACATAGTGATGGAGCGCAGCAAAACTGCCTTAAACGCTCAGTTGTGGAACGACGGACATGCGAACCACCTATTTGGCTATATAAGAAAAATTTTCAAAGGAATAGATGCAATCTAAGGTTGAGTCAGGGTAGTAACACTACTCGATAATAATAAATCGGCCAGGCCATAAACTCCACAAAAAAAAATCGGCCATTTTGAATCAAAGACAAAATATAGACAAATAATTTTATTTACAAATTACTATACATTATTGTATATCTTCACGGAAGGCAATTGTTTATTCTTAATTTAACACTTAGGGCCGAGTTCTATATTCAAATTAACAATAAAGATGTCAATCGGTAAATTAATAATAGGTTATTTTGCTAACTTAAAAACCATTGGCAAATTATTTATTAAGGACTATATACTCTGATTTTTAATTCCGTAGAACTCTGACAGCTATCATTATTTGACATGACAGAGATGGCAAACCTTTTTGGCCGGGCTCATTTTTCATACATTTTATTGTTAGTTAATGTATCCATTTTATTAGTGCGGTGCCCCACATTTTTATCACAAACAGTAAAAAACGCACAAGTATAGATAACATTTTTTTTTTTAAACTGTTTACTAAACCTGGAATTAGTAGGTAGTGATGCCAGCTAAAGAATAAAATAAAGTCATTAAAGTTAATTCGATATATTGTTCGTGATATTGAAATATTTGTTATTTTTGTATTAGGTCACTTGAGTAAGAAAATATTAAACTTTACATTTTTGTAGGTAAAACATAAAAAATACGTAGCATTATTTTTATTGCCCTCAAATAAGTCAAATTTGTACCTTTTTCGGCGGAGAACTTTTTTAGTAGCAACACTCATGAAATGTCACAGAATAAAAAATCAGAGTATAGAACTTATACAACCACCCAAAAACGCTTCACTAAGTTGGCATCCATGTGACGTACAATGTTTGTAAACGTCAAGTTTTTGAAGTAATACTTCTTTAGGCGCGTTATGAAAAATTTATGAGAGTGAAATTTTACGATGCGCGCGCACAGTGACACAAAATTAACAGAATGAAGTTGCCCACGGAAGATGCTACGGCATTGGACATAATTTAAAACCAACATTCGAATAATAATATAATTTATGTTACACTTAATGTAAGAGAATATAATAATAAATATTTATTTATTTAATTTTTTAAATGTAAACTGAACTTTATTGACTATAATGACTCCTTTTCCAGTCTTTGATTATTTAATTGTAATTAATTATTTGCAAGCAATCAAAAACTATTTTTAATAATGCCAAAGAAGTATAACTTCTTACGCGCGTTATGTACACGCACTTTTTTTTACATGTAAATGTTTTATTTGCTCAAAATTACCTTTTATCGTAATAACCAAGTAAGGCTAGTTGGTACACAATGTTATATATTTTAATAAAGTAGTTTCATATTTCTCAACTAAATTATTCTTGAAAAATACTTCCGACCGTTATTGCGCCAAGGCAAAATATTTTGAACAACTATCACCAACGCAGTTAAACTCCGATTCAGTATTAGGATTAGACATACAAAGACATATTTACAAGCATACTACGTCATAATCCTGACCGTGACTGACAAAAAAAAGCAATATTTTAATTTTTTTGAAAACTTATTAAACCCTTTTATACTCTCTTTATATTAGTCAATAACATTTATTTTTCAAATAGCAAATATAATAATTCTTAAAAAAATAATACATCAAGTATATCATGGAAAGGTATAGAATATATATTATAAGCTTATAGCAGCTTTACTTTGACAAAATAATTAACTTGAATTTGTATGAAAATCCTAGTATGTTAATAATTTGTCAAACATAATTGTTTGTATATAGAACTCGGACTTGAGCAATTATTTAAACCATACTTATTAAACCTTTCAAACAGTTTCACTCTTGATAACTTTGATGAAACCTTTCAAGTTTAAAGCTTAGATTTCCTAGAAAAGCGGTGCCGTTATCTAACGGCCGTAATGTAACGTTGGGTGACGTCACCCATACGTCGTCCCCATACGACGTCTTTAAATAACATCGGAGTAGGTTCCTAGAGAACGTTGAGTGTCACCGTAACGTCAAATAGCGGTGCCAAACATTAGTTCAATGTTTTTTGCGTGTAGCGGTGCCCATATTTAATTAATACAATGAGTGGATACATGACTTGGACGAGCGAAAATGATTGTTTTTTTGCATTATGTTGCAAAATGTAAAGACGGCCGTTATTAACAACCGTAAAATGACGGCCGTTAGTTAACGGCACCGCTTTTCTAGGAAACTTAAGCTTAACCCATTAAAATAGGTGTCCAAGGGTGCCTGCCTTTTATCTCCCTGCTCCCTATAAAACCCCGTATCAGCTTAACAAGAGAAAAATTGGTACTTTTTAACGAAGATTCTTTACAGAACCTATACCTTGCAAACGATAAATAGAATCCAAATTAAGCTGTTAAATCATCTTTTATCTTCAAATAATAAATACTTTATAAATGTCCGTTAAAATTTGGCTTCAAAATGGTGGAATAATTCGATAATGATGGGAGACCTATCCACACTTTTGTGTCCGTTACATGTAAATCCGTCTCAAATGTCCGGCTGTTGTGATTGCGTTGCATTGCGGACATATTTTCTTCGCCTTCAAGGATTCCAACCAACACACCTGAAAAATAACGTAATACAATTCTTTACACTCAGTATTGATAATTTTTCTATAGACAAGTACCTATTCTAAAAGGCCGGCAACGCATTTTTTATACAGACGTACGTCGACCGCACCTTATGTTGATGAAGCCTATTGGAAGACGTGCCTTGAATGATCACATATACTCTATAAAGAAGAATTGTGGGGCCAAGGAGTACCTTCACTGTTCACAAGACTATACAAATCGTGTAAAACCCCTTGCGAGCTGGTGGCATTGAATGTTTAGGCTGTTAACAAATCAAAAGAAAGAGACTGGCAGCCCACGATGGGAGCGTTCAAGGGTTCCTCTTGAAAAACGTTACGATGCGGGACGGGGATTGAATCACGCGTTATTGTTAATATTATTTTCGACTTTTCAGTACTTTACACCACATAATGGTAACTTTTAGGTATAAAGACTCACTGGGTGGTCACGAAACGTTTTACTATACTTGGGTACAGAAAAACGTTACGGCGCGTTACAGGGGGGGTCCAATAATCTCCAAAAAATGCGGGTATAACGTAATACTTGAACGCTCCCGATACAGGGATTCCTAGTGTGGTTGCTAGTGCACTTTATTTCACCTAAATATCGTTTTTATTGTGTATAATAAAATGTTTTTTTTTTCTTTTCGATCAAATCCTGGGTGTGTTCCAAAGTGCACAATTGATGGAATCATTTCATGTATTCTATGCCGTTTATATCACTTGGATTAGGATAAATGAACCTATGGAAATGAGTTAAATTTTCTTTAACAATTTCTGTTAGAAATGCAAGCACTGTATTAAGTACGATTGAACTTAATAAACAAATCACTCTTCTATGCTTATTTTTAAGAACGATTTGTATTTTTGTATTAAATAAGCTAACTACTTTTCACCATTATAATACATTATATCGAAATGTCGCAAATAAAATCAAAATCAAATCAAAATACGTTTATTCAATTAAGATGCGTCTTAGCGCATGCTTATGAATGTCAAAAACGTTTACAAAATTCGCGAAAGAGCAAGACTACGCCATCCGTTCGCAAACTAACAGGCGGCCTTGTTCTGAGGGGGCAAGAAACTCGGCAAGTCTTACCCTCCCTCTACATTACAATTATTCAAAGGAAAATGTCATAAGGAATAAGACATAGGCTAAATTAATTTCGGAAATAATTTAGAAAAGAAGTTCCGGCAACGCACTCACGAGCCATACGGTATTGAGTGGCGGTGATATAACAATATGAGGTCTATAAAAATATATTCAATTTCCTATACAAAAAAATACATTAAAATATGGCACAAAGTGCAAATTTATAGATAAATACCTCACAGTAGACATGCCAGCACTGTATGGAGACTGCTGGCGACGTGTAAGGCCCCAGACAGATCAAACACTTCGCCTGAAATTGTACGTATTTTTTTAAATAAGAATAAGATATTAATTGTAACAAATACTACTGATCCGAAATATAGTTTTCATCAGAATTCGAACCCTTAACTACCGTATTTTTTTATTTTTGGTGTAGATCAAATTTATTTTTAAAAAGAGGTTTGAATACAAGTGATCTTGTGTTGGAAGATTAGTTTTTTTGGAAACCAAGTCATATCATTATCGGTTTCATCAAAATCGGTTCATTACATTTGATTGACATTCTTATGATTTATAATTACTATTATTACAGTCAAAACCGTTTACAACGACATCGTTTCAAACAACATACCAGTTATATTTACCAAAATCAAGCTAAATTCTATTGTATTAGGTTCCAACAACGTCATCGGCTGTTACGACTATCGGTTTTTACGACCAAATATGAGTAGTCCCTTCGATGTCGTTATAGCAGATTTTGACTGTATTCACATTTCAGGTATAACGACGATGAAGGCACCACAAATTTCGTCGTTATATCCGGACGTCGATACAAGCAAAGGATACACTCATATATTCTGACTATCAATTTGTAAAACCATAAATTTAACTCCAAAACGTACATACGTACATACTTAGCTAATATCTATAAACAAAAGGCACAGGTCTCCACCTGTGTGATTGTATACACAAGATAGGAATGTGTCTTTGGAGGCCGACTCCAGTCGCAATATTTGCTTGGGTTACAGAAATTTGTTACAAATGACTCATTAAAAGCAGTACCTATACCCGAACTCGGCGTTACATCCATAGTCGCTATAGCTATAACAATTTTGTACTAATGCTTTAAATTCATGCAAATTAAAACGTCGCTATAGCTAAATGGTCGCTACAACCAAGGTTCGTAATAAATTAAATCTCTCTCTACTGTATATAAATAATCACGTGATATATTCTATTACCTATATTATATCATGTCTGTTCTTCATTAAAAGTTAAAACAATATAAATCTGAGAAATGTTCGAGAAATAACTCACCTCTAGTCCTGAATTCTGTTTTTTCTCTAATTCTTTTATTTTCATTTTCAGCGCTTGTATGCGTGTCTGAAAATTGTTACAATAATTCATACATTAATGGCCTATTAGAATAAAAAATATTAGAAGGATGGTGTTCCTGTTCCTACAACTTAGAGAAGGTCCTCAACCAGTCAAAGCACTGACTTCAAACTTGCCTAAAGTCCCCAGATTTAAGAAGTTGTATAAATACTTAGCGGAATAAGTCTATTACTCGATTTAGGGTTATCAAAGTGATTTGTTGTCAAAGATTGTAGATATCGCCACAACATTTACCAAGAGTAAAAACTAGATACCACTTTCAGATTCTTTTAATTATTTGTTATCTAACAATTTTATCATGTAAATAGGTAGATTTTTAAACTACAAAATAATTTTAATTATATTATTAAAAAAACAAACGCTATTACGCTAGATTATTGAAGTGAAACTTCTTTAGGCGCATGAGGGTAAAATTTTTACGGAACGTCACGAAGATGTGCAGCGTTTTTGTCGAAGAAAAGGGAGAGAGCGATTGAGACCGATTGAGAGAGAGTGAGAAGGGTGAATCACCTTATAGAAGTTCTATTATTAAAATTTCGTAAAGAGAATTTATGAAATATTAGTATTTTATATTTTATGCAAAATAATTTATAAAATCTCAAATGACGAATTGTAAATTAAAATACCATGTGTTTTTATTACCAAAGAAATCAATTTAAAAAATTAAATTTATTATTTGTATTAATTTTCGACACTTAATATTTTAATGACAATTAAATTCATTAAATTCCTAACATATCTTCCTTTATCCCTACCTCTAAGTCTCGGAAATCGATCGTGCACCTTGTATCGGGCCGATTTAATTTTCATATTTAATTAAGGATCAATTATTGTTGTAGTAATTAATTAAAGTAATTTAAATTAAAAAAAATTAGGATTCACCGCTGGCCCTTACTTAATTAGTAACACTAAATAGGTTGTTTGTATTATTATTTTCATTTATCTGTATTCTAGTAACATTACATTTACTAACAAAAAAGATATCTAACATTAAGTGATTTAAAACAATTTCTAATAAACCTTCTTCATCTGACATTGACAATTAAAAATAAACAGTTATAAGACATAATTATCTTCATAATTTGAAATGTAATTTTTGTGAATAAATGAAATGAAGCATAACAAATAATTATTATATTGATTCCCATAACGGCCAGTTCTCTTTCCAAACTCTACAAATATTTTAACAAAATAAAAGAGCAGGTTGGTAGCAATGTTTGGTACTTGCACAACATATAGGATTATTTTTAAAGTTTTATCAAATATATACCTCAGCGCTGGCTTCTACCAGCCCATTCGTTTTCTTCTCAATTTGTAGTTCTATTCCATTAGACTCACTCTCATTTTCACTCGACTTGGAAGTATCTGCCTGGAGTATATTAATTAAAAATTATTTTCGTAACATCTCTCTAATCAATTAAATTTCCTATAAACCCAATTTAAATTTAGCATGGGTCAAGTACAAATAGTTCCCATGAATTTGAATTTAGAATGGATCAAGTACAAATAGTTACCATGAATTTGAATTTAGAATGGGTCAAGTACAAATAGTTCCCATGAATTTGAATTTAGAATGGATCAAGTACAAATAGTTACCATGAATTTGAATTTAGAATGGGTCAAGTACAAATAGTTCCCATGAATTTGAATTTAGAATGGGTCAAGTACAAATAGTTCCCATGAATTTGAATTTAGAATGGGTCAAGTACAAGTAGTTCCCATGAATTTGAATTTAGAATGGGTCAAGTACAAATAGTTCCCATGAATTTGAATTTAGAATGGGTCAAGTACAAATAGTTCCCATGAATTTGAATTTAGAATGGGTCAAGTACAAGTAGTTCCCATGAATTTGAATTAAGAATTATATAGGATTAGAAATAAATTTAAATCAGGAATTCATAGAAAGTAATAGTAATAGTAGAAGTGCGTCTTACATCAGGCGCTATCCTTGAAGGTGAGTACTGAGGCGGTCCATACAACGCCGTGTCCTCGTCATCATCTACTACCTAAAATAAAGGTAATTTCTTTTAAATAATTGTTTAATCTTAATTTCATTGATTCTAATTCCATGCAGACATAGTCGTTATTCCCCTTAATTAATGAAAAGATTTATATTGATTCTGTTTATATATATATATTTCTTCTGAATAACAACATATTTATGTGTGTCAAAACTCAAACCTGCCTAAATATTCCAATACAATATAAACAAAACGTGTTTGCACTTATGTACATGCGTTAGAAGTTATACTTTTTTGGCGTACCAAAATAAAAATCTTTTCATTAGTTTGTAAAAAAAAACGACACTAACAATAAGAAAAAACTAAAATGTTGACTATAGCTAACTTCAGGGTGTCGGTTTTTTGTGACGGTGCGCGCGCGCAAGAATGTACTCTCGTAATTTTTTCCCTAACGCGCCAAAAGAAGGATAACTTCAAAAATGCTTGACTAAACATTAGTTTAGTCAAGCATTTTTGAAGTTCATCTAATATGCTAAATGGAATTGACATATACTAACCAGCGCGTGATCGGTTGACGCTCGCCGTACACTAGTACCAGGCCGTGAGTCCGCGTCCTGCAGAGCTGTGGCCCTCACTCGCCACTCTCCGCACCACTGGTATTCAGCACCAAACCCCGAGGGCTCATCGTTCTGAAATAAACCAAAAATAGAAACTTTATTAAAATACGAAAAAAAAAAATTGACGCGTCTGCTGTCTCTGAAACTATTGACATATTTATATGTTCACAGAGTGAATTCACAGTAGCGATATTGTGTTAAATATTATATATTATGTACTTTTATTATCATATTGGCATAGTCTGTAAGGATAATGTATTTATTTCTGTAATAAATAAGTAAAATAAACTTCACTTTATTAAAAAGTCGTTGGAGTTGAGACTTAATGCATAATTCTTAGGATATAATTACAGATGAAAATAGCATAGCTGTGAAGGCCCAGATAAAAAATATTATCTATGACATGGGTCTCACACAGAAGGCTTATCACCTATTTGTCTATAAAAGAAAAATGACAGAGACATGGGTGGAATCTGAGGTGAGATCCATTGAGAGTTTTAGCGCCACTGGATTATTATTGTTACAACCATAATAATTATAATACTTTAGTCTTACTTCAACATCAATGCTGCCTTCTTCAGAGCTTGAATCAGGCACTGGTTCATCCAGCTCTGCTCCACTTCTCTTCAGACATCTTAATGTATGTCGGTGAAGACGGGACACAGGGCGAGTTGCATTGCACACTGGACATTCACCTTGTCCGGTGCGTGGCGGAGATCGACGCCGTGATCGCAGCCGATTAAGACGGTTGCTATGTATACGCTGAGAAATTAATATTAGTTTAAACTATGTTCTGGTGGCTTCGCTGTTTAATGCTGTAATCATATAACAAATATTCCTACAAATTGGTAGTCTAAAAGGAAAATCTTATTTCACTGTTATATTTAGGGATTTTATTTACATATTAAAACGGGAAATATGTACTATAGGGAAGACAACTAAAATGCTTTTGATAAATAAACAGATCAAAAAAAATTATAAATTTTTCTATTAAAGAAATCTAAATTAGTAAATCTACACTATAGCCATAGGCACTAAGGCTTTCATTAACACAATGAAATAACATTAATTAAATTTTTATGAATATTGGTATTCAACAAGGAGAAATTTAGTTTTACTGCATACTTTTTAGGAAGATTACTCTCCAAAATTGTTTTAAGGTTTCATCAAATTAAAAAGCGTAGTAGCTTTAACAGAATCAGTAATTAATCGCTAATTTGTTTTATCCGGTGTTTTACGTAACAAAAATACATTACAATTACGAATCCTTACTTGGTAAACATCACTTCCTGGACAGCCCGAAACATCCATCTCAACATCTTCATTACTTTCTTCCTCGTAAAATGTGCTGGATCCCGCAACCGGCATATTTGAGCTATTTGTGCTTAATTTCCTCTTCGATCCACTAGTAATTTTTTGCAGTCTTTCAACTTCTAATGCTAAATGCGACTCTAATTCTCCCTGTCGTATTGTACAGCTACATACTGGGCAATTAGGCAACTCGGAAACCTTTTTCCTATTTCTGACACAATTTAAAACATTATTTACATCATAAATGGAGTTAAAACTACTTGAATTTGAACAACCCTCCATATTAAAAGCTATAAGTGGTAACATTTCAGTCGCTGTTTAATCTAAAAACATCACGGCTTTCTCATAATAAAACAGGTGTTTAAGGTTTCAATTGAGCTTTTAGAACTTCGATTCGGTTAATAGAAGTTATCATGTAATAATTAGTCAGTTTATTTACGTAAAAAAGGCAATAATCGTAAGTACTCAGCAAAACAATAACAAATAAATCGTTGAGTTTTTTGGAGTTTGGACGTTGACTTGAAAACTCTTTCATTGTTTTGACATTGACGTTTTGTTAAGTTGTGTCACTTAAATCATACAGGTGATATATCAAAATATTTTACAAGCGGTTGTACAGATTAGGAAGAGAATACCTGCTTCACTGTAATTTCGGACCTATCGTAAGTAATTTTATTTTATTACGGTGACATTGAGGACTAAATAATAAGCTAAGCTAGCCTAGGCTATAGCTCAATAATATTATCTGTAATACTTGATATGTCCGCCCGATATTATATATTTTTTTTATTTAATAATAATATATATTTATTTACAATCAAGTAAACCGCATTTAAAATTTTCTTAACCTAAAAAGTAATAATAAAAATTATTAAAAACAAAATCAAAACAAATTTAAAAAGTTTGGTTCCTGTACCTTTAACGCTGGCATTTCTTCCTCGCTGTATTGCTATGTACTTATTCGTTGAGCCAGGAACTATCTACTAGGCGCCAAATTAAATCTTTAATAAGCGCCTGTGCACTTGAACCCCACGGCCCAAGAGTCTCTACTCCAAAGGGAACAAAATCGAAGTTGGAGGAAAGACTCTTTATATTTGCCGTTTATTATTTTCTGCCTGCTCTGCGGCCGCCCCAGCTTTTGCTTGTCCGAAGGAGGTGAGACGGGGCAAACGTGTTCACACAAAAAGCATCCCATACTAAAGCTCGTCCCATTTTCCAAGGGATCAACGACATTCCATCCGGCCGCTTGCCATCGTCTCTTGCGATGCTTGTTGGCTCCAAAATTGCTGGAACATTGACCGGAGGCAAGAAAGCGGCGTATAATGTCGTTAAGCACGGCATGGCGCGAAAAACGGCCTGCACTCTTTTGGCAATGTAGGCCATGGTGTCCAAGGCTACTTACTTCAAAGCCACAGGGACACTTATGGGGAGTACATATGGGCACTCCTAAGTGGAGGCTGATGGCAATGCGAAGTGATTCAGGGTCCAAAAGGGTGCCAGTGTTTGGCGAAGGATAAGCACTAACCCAATGACCGGCTTCCCTAGACCCCCAACCTTGCGCGGTCTGTTATTGAAATGTGACCTAATAACTTTTGGAATTCAGATTTGCAAAGAGGATCATCCCAGCTCCTTTGAAAGTTGACGCTAGAAGGCAAACTCAAACCTGTTTTGGATGCTAACTACGCGTTTCTCGCATCTGTTAAATCCGCAATCTCGTAGTTTATAGAATAAGATCTAAGGATTTCACCTACCATTTTGCGTATCGTATATTTTATTTGTTTACCACCGAGCGCTTGGTGGTAAACAAAATGTCACCAATTTCCCACATTGCCACAATGTTGTCATAAATCTGTGAAACCCAAGTCAAACCCATATTAATTTAAGACTTTATCCTAATAAGAGGTGTATTTAAAGTATCAGTCATGGTGAATTGTTGCATAATTGGCTGTAAAAGCTAAAGTGAACGTAAAGAACCAAACATAACCTTTCATCGGTAAGTAGCATTATTCATTCGAATATGTATTTTGCAATATATTATATAATATATATTGGCAAGAATAAGCAATCTTCAATGAATTAAAACTGTAAATACGACACTTCCAAACATATTTTTCAGTGCTAACCGACTAAATTGCGAATTATGCTACCTACGTCAGGTAGTTGCCACACTTCGTGTCCTTTGTAAATAGTTGGATTATAACTCGTTGGAGCTACCAGCACTTGAATAAATTTTCCACTTTTTTCAGTTTTCCGAATGAACCGTTTTTAAATAATAAATGGACTGAGTGTACCGGTAGATTAAACTGGCATCCAACTCAAAACGCCCGGATATGCTCAAGACACTTAAAAAAAAATGTTATAACCAAATAATAAAAATAATAATAATATTGTTATAATTGTTATTGTTTCTAACCTAACCAATGTAGACTGTACAGTGTACACTGTACACAGTGTAGTCGGTAGCCCTAGACTTCACGTACACTGCTGTGCGTGTACAAAAACGGCGTCTGTGTATTACACACACTTCCTATAATGAAAGTCTATGGTGTATTAGGTAGAACAGTTACTACGCAGCGGTTGTATAGAGTGTTCGGGTGTGGTTTAATTTAACGTAACTGATTAATATGCGTGTGGAGTGAGTGAGCATCCCAATAGGGAAAATTTTTCTCATGACATTAGGAAGAAAGATATTAGTGGCATTATGAAGTTATGTCAATCATTCGCTATCTCACACGCTGTACGCTGGTGCCTGGTCTATACCATAGTCCGTCTACGGTTTATCTGTATTCTGGCAACCATAAAAGTCATTGTGACATATTAATTTTTTTTAAATTCATAGTAATTGTCGTAAAGGTTTTCTACGGCGTTCTCTAAAAAAAGTAAAGTTTATCTATTGTCAACAAAAATGTCCGTAAGTTATTCAAATATATACTTTAATGAGACATATAAAAAATGTTATAATCTAAAAGAGAGTAATATAGGTTTCATATATTACCATACTCAGTTGTTGGATTGGCTTACGTAACCTTTTTCTTTTAAAAAAACAACTGCCAAAAATACAAGCTTTGTGCCTGAGAAAAAAAAGAGTTTTGACATTTTAATTTTTTCTTGGTTCCACTAACCACTTTTTACTTCCCGCTAAATTAAAATATTTTAAATTTGTATTAATTATGACATCAAATCCATATTAGGATGATACGCATTTAAGTGTATAATAATTTAATGATTATTTATATTAAATAAGAGGTTTTATATATTCTTTGGTTTTGTTAGTAGTTAATTAACAATTTGTTTAACTATTACTTTAACTAGGGTATTTCGTATTTTCCATAATTAAATACTTTCCAAAGAATATAAATAATGTATTGTTTATAATACAGGTAAGAATGGATTCAAAACCAGTAAGGATGGTTAATGTTGTTCCAATATCAAGACTTAAGGTAAGATATTTTTAAATTACAAAAATATACCTTTGTTTTCATATATTTTCCAACATGAAACATTTTCCAAACAAACCGAGTAAATTGTTATGCTTGCAATGGTAATAGTATCTACTTTCAGAAAGTACCACTGCCAGATGATAGTGAAGACACTGTGGCATGTCGTATATGCAATAAGTCTTTTGCTAATGAAGTTGCATTGAAGAACCACAGTCGTATTGAGCACATTGATGCTCTGCTTAGTGGCCAAGATATTTGTGTAAGAAAAATTAAGGCTGTTGCAATCTCAAAGGTATGTATTCCATCCAATATTTTGTTTCCGTGTTAGGATGTTAGACTAATATTCTAGTCAAAGTAATGGGAAAGAAATATGCTTGCCTTATCTTCTACTGGGGGATTTTATTTATTGGTTTTATATATAAACAGGACAAAAGAAAAAAAGAAATGCAAGATGTAGAGTCAGAACACATAATTCTGTCTGTGGAACCAATAGATATTATGAACATAGCCTTGGCACAGGATTTTATCATAAATAAGGTACATTCATAACCACTCAGTAAAAATGATAAGATTGATTATATTATAATTCATAAATTAGATCATCAATTAGAAAACCAATATGAGAATATTAATAGATGTAACTTTAGTTTCTTTTACTATTAATATTTGCATTACCATTTTGTATTGTCTTTATTTCTGTTGAATAATATAATATTTAGGTCCTGCATAGCGATGCACAGTAGAATATAATAAGGCAGACATGTTTCTATTAAAAGTTTGTAATTTTTCAAGATTTCAAAACAAGAATAACTTTAAAATGTGGCGATTAATTGTGATGTAATTATTGTTTGTGTCTAAATACTGAATATAATTTTACAGGATGAAAATGATACAAATTCAAGTGATGGTGAGAAGAAAGCTAAAAGAGCTAAAATAGAAAAGGTGAAAGTGGCCGTTAAGAAAGTTAAAGAAGTGAAGGCCATCACGTAAGTATTCTTAACCTAAAGGGCCTTAAATTTTTAGGTTCTCTCTCTAGACATAATCTCAAAAAAAAACTTTAAACCTTTTAGGTCAGAGCCTCAGATCTGTTTATGATCATTTTTTTAATTCATTTAGATGAAGTGGCCACTAGTATGTATTAAAGTTCAAGTAGGATAAAAATTCTACCTGTATCAATCACCTCGACGTCCGTCGTTCCACAACTGAGCGTTTAAATTAGAGTAATAAATTAATAACCATCAAATTTTAAGTGTCATGTTATTTGCTGCAACTAATAAAATAGCTGATGACTTCGAAACGCATCTATACAGGGCGTCCCAAAGTTAAATGACATGAAGGGAAAGTACCTTAAATATCGTAGATAGAGTATTTTACTGAAAGAAGACTAAGTTATTTTTGAAAACTAGTAAGTCTGCATTTAAAGATTTTCTAAAAATTACTTGCCTCGTCTGGGAATCGAACCGACTTATATGTAAAAAAATAACACCCCTGCTTTTATGATGCCAACCGAAAGAATGGCCAAAAACTAATAACTCTTCTTAAGTAACATAGTATTTTAAAAGAAAGGAAAAGCGTGAAATTAATCATTTTAATCAAATTAAAAACATACATGAAACTGCCGTTGTCTATTAAGTGCGTTTTTTTTGTAAATTAATTAAATAAATGCTCAAAATGTGATCGCTCTTATCTTACGCAAATCGCCAATCTTTTGATGAGTATATATATGATAGCTAAAAACCATCTCAAACAAAACCGCAACGTAATCGGTTAGGAGCTACGAAACAAACATACATACATGTCATATTTACGTCGTTTTAAAAAGACGATAATAAAATAAATATATGTAAAAGCAGACATACGCAATCGAATCTCTAAAAACCACTTGGCTTTGGGGTACATTGACTTGATTTTACCAGAATATTATAAATTCCAGCGGCCCCTTTGAGTGTCTTCAGCCATCATCTCTAGTTTCCGATAGTATATGTCACCAGATGTTCTTCTCTTGCTGCGAGTACTCGACACATATCAGAGACGAACACACGCGACGAAGGAAGGGTGTCAAGTGTCAGGTGAGCAACTCAAATATGGGCATGCTATACTAGGTGGGTACAGTATACCCTATTCTACGTTTGAACATTTAAGACAGTAGGAAACAGCGTAATTCGAAAACTAACGGACGTGGTTACACACTAAAAAAAGTGAAACTTTTTTCACATTATAGACATTTAACTAAAATTTTTTTTAATAATATTCCATTAAGTGTATAAAAATATCAATCCTTATCAATCTTAATTTTATACTTGGAAAATTGGAATGATAATGGGAAATAATAAAAGTAGACTAAGTCTCCAACTAATATTTTTATTGAACTCTGTGTATTAGAGAGTACGACATACATAATACTTAACAATTATTTAGATTATATACTTTTAAAAATTTAGGGTTGTGTGTATTTTTTAATGGCACATTATAAAAAAATTAAAATTTCGTCCAAAATATAAAAATAAAATGTTAGGGGTGGACAACCCCTATCACTTAGGGGTATGAAAAATAGATAGTAGCCGTTTCTCTGACCTACTGAATATGCATATAAAATTTGTTAAAAATCAGTCAAGCTGTTTCGGAGGAGTATGGTAACTAACATTGTGACACGAGAATTTTATATATTAGATATATATAAAAAATAGTAATTTAAATTATAGTACTGTAGTACGAATGAAGGCTATTTTTAATTATTTATACCCGTATGTAGGACTTTGTATAAATAATAATAATATGTATTATATATAACTACAAAAATAAATAAAAAACGGAACAACTCTGACTGGGTTTGAAATACCCAACACTCGTTTTTTGTAGTGATTTCTTCCTGAAACCTAACATTAGATTTTTTAAAAGAACAAATTATTTTTTTTGTATTAAAATTATGTGTGTCAGGGGGACGTAAGACTTTTAGAAAGGCTACGATGGGGCATGGGACGAAATAGGTTGGAAAACAAATTCCTAGATCATTAGGGAATAGGTGAGACAAGGATTTGGACTAAAGTCTGGTATAGAATGTTAAAATTGACAAGAAAATTATTGTACTCAGGTATGCGAGAAACCACTCACCATTGTTCTTGGAAATGAACAGCTACCTTACACTTGTCAGGTGAGTTGTAAATAATATTATTACGTTCTAGCGGACCCGACAGACGCTGTCCTGCATGATATTTCAAGCGATTAGTATATTAAACAAAGTATGATAGTACTGATTGCAGCGCCACCTGCCAGGCTGATTTGTGAATCTAAACCATCCAGGGCGTCACCCAAACGTATACATAAAAAAATCATTCAAATCGGTTCAGCAATTGATGAAGAGTTCAGTGACATACACACGTTTAGCAGAATTATATAAAGATATTATATACCTACATATTAGCTCATACAGTTTCTTGTCTCCCTTTCTAAAAGTTTTTTGATTAGTGTGCTGATCTAGTTATAAGCATAGTCATAACAAATTTTACCTTTTTTAAATAAATTTATTGATGATTATTTTATATCTATTTTATGAATATAATAACTCCGATCCAAGCATTTGTTTTAAACGATATTCATTTTTCTTACATCCTCTGACGATATTTGCAGCACGCATTCTGTCAATGTTATGTCAAACGCCATAAGGTTACGTCAAAAAAGTTTTAATTGTATGGTTGTTAAATATTCTTTCATTTTCTAATTTTCCTGTCAATAACAAACACAACAAAATAAGAATTATCGAAATCGGTCCAGCCGTTCACGCGTGATGCCGTGACCAAGGGAAATAGGGATTCATATATATATACTAGCAGACCGGCCAAGCGTTGCTGTGGCTAAGGTTTTTGTTATATTACATAGTAGCAAACTATTCAAGGGAAACGGTAGGAGAACACCAGTCATGGGGACCACCATGCTTTTTGGTGTTTATGCTATTAAATTGTAGCTTATGCGAATCATTAGTACTATCAACACAGCGCCATCTGTTAGAATTGTGACTAATAAACAAATATTAATAATAAACAAATATTGTGCAATAAAATAATATTGCGGGTATAAATTGAGATGTAAGCTATCCTATCTTTTAAGTTGGATCAAACTACACACAGTGTGCAAATTTGATTGAAATCGGTTTGGTAGTTTAGGAGTCCATAGCGGACAAACAACGTGACACGTAATTTATATATATTAAGATATATATAGATAAACAAAACGTGTATGGTATACAGTATATATGTTCGCCTACGATTCAGCGTGTCTAATCCCCAATGGAGTTTCTGTCTTGTGTGTTTGTAACACTGGCTCGTGTTTTATTATAATCATATACAATCGATGAAGACTGATTCTTCTTCCCATTAAAAATAAACACATTTACTAAAATCTAATTTGGTTTTTTTATGGCTCAAACTGTAGTCCAAATATTTAATAAAATTAATTGTCATTTCTATTTCCGACTTCTAGTTTTGCGCCGCCGGCTTCGAACGCTGCATGGAACTATCCGACCACGTGACGAAACACCACAATAAAATAAAACCATACCAATGCACAGTTTGCAATAAACGTTTCACCCAGCAGGGCGGCCTCGTCCAGCACATGCGAGCGCATTCGGGCGACAAGCCCTTTAACTGCACCTTCTGCCCTAAATCCTTCACCCAAAAATCCGGCCTAGACCAACACTTACGAATACACACAAAATCCAAACCATACAAATGCGTCATTTGCAGCAAAGCGTTCTGTCAATCTGTACACTTGCAACAACACATGCGCACGCACACGAATGTGGCGCCGTTTCAGTGTATCATATGCCAGAAACGGTTCAAGCAAAGCAGCCATTTGAATTACCATTTAAAATACCACAACCCGTTGAACATGACGGACGAGCAGAAAGAGAAATATACGGAGCTGATGCGAATGATGGGCAAGGAGAGCGTCTTCGAATTGCTCGACTCGAAAGGTGAAAGTGGGCTTGGAAGTGAAGGGAACGAAGTTAAAAGTGAAGAAGTGATTTGTGTAGAGGAGGAATTGGTGGTGGATGGTCAGGAATTGCTGGAACATGATCTCAATGCAGTTGAAGTTGTTTATTTAGATTCAATTTAGTTATTGACCGCCTGATATACACACGCAATATTCAAGGGCGGATCCAGTGGCGTGACTGCGACCTGGTTCGGATCTCATTTTAATTGATATCCTTAAGTCAGTGGATTTATAGGTTTTCTAATACATTATATACACACATATTCGTTATATCCTGGATACGGATTTTCGACGCGGACGCTAGATCCGCCCTATGGGATATAATTGGTATATTAATATACCTACGAAAATAGCAAAACTATTTCGATAGTTATTGAGAACTTTATAATATTCGAACACTTCGTTCTCTTAATTTAGCTCCTAATAAGCCCATGGAGCGATGTTTTCCATAAAAAAAAAAATCTGTTAATCTACATAAAGATATCTGTGTATAACATTATAGATAATTGTGTTATTGTATAACATAAATATTTGACGAAGTCGTACTAAATGCTACTTACAAATAAGATTTATGAGTTAAAATCTAATTGATACGGAGGTAAAAGAAAACAAAGTATCTGTTACTTATAGCTATTATTTAATTATAATTATTATTAAGTGCTTTCACGATCCATCTAAGGCTCCATTTAAGTGCCGAAATATATAACTTCGTTTGGCGTTAGTGGGTCACGCCTGCCAAAAAATGATTTTGTCTCAAGCCAATAATGTAAATTCGGCAACGAAGATACTTTTATACCTGATATGATACTGCAAAATTGCACTAAATCGCAAGCAATACTTATATGATTATATTTTTATTTAAACATTGAGTTATGCAGGATGGCAGAAATTGCTTTAGTGAAAGAGATATATTTTTATAATTAACGTGATTTTGGCATTTGATTGAAACATTGTATTGAGAGGTTTCAAACCCGAGAAAAACGGGTTTCGCTAAGTAGGGTAGTTTACATTTAATTAAACTTGTAATATATTATGATAATTATTAATTTCTATGTAAATACAATAAAGTTTTATCTATACTTGTTGGACTATCATTCATTCAAAAATTCAAGCCAAGAGATATACAGGGTGGTCAAAAAGTCGTGGATCAAACGCAAATAGGGGATAGATGAGGTAATCAGCTGCAAAAAATTTATCTACGGGAGGTCTCTAAGCTCAACCCCTGCAGAGTTATAATTTATTTTGCGTTTTATAAGAAAATTGACTTTTTTGTACTAATTCTTATTAAAATTCGAAAAAATCTACATTCTGTATCTTTTTCATAATATCCGATAGATTGGTACTGATGAGTTCTTGCGTTAGACATACTATTTATAGTTGTTTATTGAGAGTATTGAAGATAATATTAAGTTATACGATATAATTTTTTTTCAAATCAAAACTATTTTTTTTCTTCGGACCCCACTGTGAAAAAAAATAACTCTACCGAAAAGTGACCCTGTATTACAAGTTTTGGTGCATTTCATAGGGATTCTGAAAAGGTATTACACGTAGCCATGATCCATCCCTATGGAATGCGCCAAAACTGTCAATTTTCTTATAAAACGCAAAATAAATTATAACTCTGCAGGGGTTGAGCTTAGAGACCTCCCGTAGAACAATTTTTTGTAGCTGATGACCACATCTATCCCCTATTTACGTTTGATCCACGACTTTTTGGCCATCCTGTATATGTCAAGACTTGACATACGATAGTTATACTTGCTATATCCCGACCCAGAATCTTATTCTTTGAGTCGAGACTTAATTATGACTACCATGTCAGTTCTTACATACTCCCATACTCATATTTAACATTTCAAATTTAGGTTTTTTCAAACTTACCCGCGCCAGAGGTATAATGATTAATGACATTAATATAGCTCTGCTATTTCATAAAATATTAACAGGATTTAGTTTGAAGTAGTTAGTGTTGCTGGTAGATGTTTCATGGAAAGTTTATGCAAACTTTTGCTTTGCTTCATTTATATAATTTTCGGTACCAATTACAAGATGAAAGCGACCTTTTACACATGATGTAAACGGAGCTATACTTATATATGAAATAAATAAAATGCTATTTTACAGTATTGTACATAATATATTGACAAAATTCGTCTATTACTATTACTGTTGTGACGAATAATATAATTTAAAATAATCGGGATTTAAACATAATTTAGAATATATAATCGCACAAAACTAAATATACAATCAAGAGCTATTTGAAAACAAAAACCGAATTATTTTTAAACATGCCATATTTATTAAGTGAAAATCAACTAATTTTAACAATTTAGATCAATTTTCTACAGTTTAATGATACATAGTTTAGACTAGAAATAAAGTTAATAGATGATAGTAAGCATATGACTGTTAGGATATTTCATTTGAAGGAATAAAGATAAATTGATCTAAATACCGAAACACAAATTTTTATAGTCCAAAACCCACTCTTAAAATCTGCATTTACATTCGCTGATTCCTATCCATGAAATGTAACAGCTCTTACACTAATATTCAAATACAAGATTAAAAGATAAAATGAGATAAGAGTGTTACTAAACTCTGAACCTATGGGAATAGATAATACTGTTATCCCAAACTAGAGTACATCAGCAAATGTCAAACACAGATAACTAATGTAGCTTATTTTAAAACAAACAATCTAAACTAAATAAAACAATAACTTTATTACATTCTATATTAATATTTAACATCCCTATAATAAACCCTAGTTTGAAATCAATCCAGAAATATTTTCTATGAAAATTCTGCTCTCAAGATTGATCCCAAAATCTGAATTTTGGTGTGGCAACTGGCAATCGAAATAAGTGGTAACCCCGATTTTGGAACAGCTATGTTCGTGACTAAAAGCCTCGTAGCCAGGTCATGTAATAAATTTAATCTAAGATTAGTTTATGAAAAGTCGTCTAATTTATATAGCGTAATATTTAAAAAAAATTATAGATTTCCGGTCAATACAGTTAAACTTTAACTTACATCATTTCTTTTGTATTATATTCTCTAATAATTTCTCGATTAAGGCCTTATTTATTAGTTGCTATAAAAATTCTTTAAAAAAAATTGTCGCGCGCACAAAAGAAATGAGTTCTCCGGTCAGCCGAGATATCTTTAAATTTTTGCTTGAAACGGATATTGTTTATTTAGTATACATTTTCACAGTTCTTGTAGCTTTACTTTTGTAAAATCTGGATTTAATTGTATAACAGCATGCAACAAACTCCACTTGAATTTAAACGAAATTGTTAGTGAGTAAACATCATTCGAAAAAGATTTCAAATAACTATGCAATCCTACTTTCCTTAGTGCTACCTATATTAACTTCACGCGAAACGTGCAATATACATTTTTAATATAGTAAATGTACATTTTTTTTTCAATATTCAATATCTAATTATATTGGACTTCATTAAAATTAATCATGGTTGGTGTGACTTTTTATAATACCTGCATGTAAAACAAAAATATTTGAAAGCAAACAATTTGCAAAGAAATTTTAAAGTTTGTATAAATGTTCAGTATTTTTACAGAAACATCCAGCGACATTTTCGATTTTTGTTAAATTATTGAAAAAAGTCACATCATCCAATTACTAACAACTCTAATATTTTTAAATTTATAATAAACTTATTTAACAATACCATATATTTTTACATGCTTTTTAATTTTTTTTTTGTCAAGTATAAAATTTTTCGTAGGGAAAAATGCAACTTGGATAATATCACATAATAATTTTACATTAATTATTCATACACTAAAAAGGAATACACCCCAGATATACATTAAAATACATAAAACGTGCGAAATTTGAATTTCACTTGGCTGATCTTGTCTATGGAGCGTGTCAATATCTACAAATTTGACAGTTCATTTTGCGCCTTTTAAACCATATTAATTCATCTACATATTTTGACACGTACTCAACCAAGCAGTTACCTAAATATTACCAAAATATTACCGAAAGATATAAAACTAAGCGGGTTTGAAACGGTTTGTTTGATAATTTTTTTGTTAATCTGTCAAAACTGCAAACCCACATAATTTTAATCACTTACATATTTTTGTACATTTAAATTTTAACCCAAAGATAATTTGTATTTTTTTATTTAGTTGAATTCTTCCTTTGGATCGGTTTGTCAACTTTGACAGCCGGTTTGTCAGTTTTTACTTTTGGGGCTGTGGTTTTTGGTGGGTTTTTATCTTTTGGTTTTTCAGTTTTGGGTGGTATGGTCTTCTCGGGGAGTGAGGCAGGAGGCGTAGTGGCTTTCTTGGGCTTGTTGGCCTTAGCAGCTGCTGCGTAGTTTACGGGTTTGAATCCAGATGAAGGCTCGTCGGATGGTGGTTGGGATGATTGCTGGAAACCCATACATACCAAGTCAATATTATACCTTTGAAAATTATTTTCTATAAAACATTCATAATATAGAAACCACTCTGTATAGATGTGGAACTAATAAATAAATATTTTGTAGAATCATATCTTCATATTTATTTTCCGTGCTAAGCAACTTAGAATAAGATTATATAGGGATCCAAATAACACAATCCTGGTTTATTTTCTGCATTTAGCAGCAGTTTTGGTTTAAATTTTTAGGAAAGTATCTGTATGTTTTGGTTCAGAAGGCACAAGTGATTACATGATTTTCTAAGATATAATACATTTATGTACATAAAATTTACCTTAACAACCTCTATGCTCTGGTTATCTTCACTTTGCACTTCACTTTTGACACATTTCTCGCTGTGAACACTTTTAATTTCATTCTTAACACTTTCACTGGGGGCAGCTTTCACATCACTTTGTACAGTTTTAAGTTTGGGGTCTTTTTTTACTTTATTGTCAACTTTTGCTTTTGGTTTAACTTCTGGCTTCTTCTTGTCAGACTTTGATTTAGGTTTTTCTTTTGATTTCTTGTCGTCTTCGATTGGTTGAACATCTGCTGCACTCACTTCTGGAGGTTCTGTTTGTGGTGTTGACTCTGAAGAAAAATATTGAATTTAAAAGAATAACCATAGAACAGAAGAAGAATTGTTTAAGGTCAAGTAAGTCAAACTAAGAAATATGGACAAAACATGAACATTAATTGAACACACTTCAAATTATAATTTGCAATTGTTATAAATATTCATTTTTGATTTTACATAATATTTATAGTCTCTACTAACCTTTTTCATCTGTAATCTGAGCATCTGTACTTTCTGGTTCAGTGGTCTGTGTGTCTTCCTTGGGTAGCTCCTTTGATTCTGGTGGATCTGATCTCTCTTCTGAAATACAATACAAAATCTAAATATAATCATAATTATTAAATTCAGATATTGAAGTATATCAGATGCAATTCAATTATATATATATATAACATAAAAATAATAGAGTATGTATGGGGTATAAAGTTATGGTTACTGACCTGGTGGTGGACAAGCCCTTCCTGGCACAAACTCAGCAGCTAAGGGATTAAGGGTAGACTTTGAGATGGCTTCTTGAAGGGACACAGGAGTTGAACTGTTGCTTGTGCTGAAACAAATAATGTAATCATATTACAAGCTAGAAAAATAATAAGTGCATTCATTAGTTTATTATATATTGTTTTTCTTTGGTAATACCAATTTTAAAAGTACAAAACACTAAAGGTAATATTTCCAATGCATATTTATAAATAATAACGATTTTTATACTATTGTAATCGTGTCAGTTCAGTCCCTGGCTCTGATTGTTTTGAGATGGAAGGAATAAAAGGCGCAATTGCCTATAAAGTTACACATTAGAGGGTTATGGGCTTTTTCAATCAATAGAAACAATATAACTGTCCGTCAGTTTGGAGCGACGGGAGAAATCGTTCATGTAATAAAATACTGAATGTTTGTTTAACTTCCGGCACTTTGGAAGGTAAGATTCAGATTAGTCAAGGCCTAGTTTTGCCATACGAGAGTCACAGTTTCAGCGAGTGTTAGCCTTTACCGTTGCCATATAGGTCATTCAATATAATAATAAAAGCCTTTATTGCAGTAATTGCTTATACTAGTACATAAAAAGTGAATATGAAGTGGATATGTACTAATAAATTAATAATAAAAATAAAAACTAATAATTAATCTGCTAGCCGATTAATTTCTGTTACACAGCTTGTCCTTGGATATAGGCCTCCTCTAAGAACTTCCACTCTTTTCTGTTTCTAGCTTAACGTAGCCACATAGGGCTAGCTACTCTTCGCACGTCATCTTCCCATCTTTTTATTTGTCTTCCTCGTTTTCTTTTATCATAGCGCAAAGCCATTTCGTCACTTTCTTCGTCCATTTATTTTTATCTTCTCTCATAATATGTCCTATCCATTTCAATCTTTTACTAGAAGTAACAGCATTTCTAAACTTTGTCATGTCCTTTTTGACTACTAGAAGAAATAAAGGACATGACAAAGGTTGTTCAACATGGTATAGGTTTTGGTACTTACGTAGAGCCGTGTCCATTGTCCCTTGCGGCACGTCTTTCTCGCTGTTCGTCTTCTAACATAGCTTCTATGCATTGCTCCATTAGCGCCTCTTCTTCCAACTGTTGCATCACCTGTGTACAAGGTAGTTTAATTTTAATATAATCCAATATGCTGATGGCCAAGGTAATACAGAAATCACATCCATTGTAGCTATAACCCTAAATGGATTTTGGCCTCAAATTGTATGTTTCTTTCACACAAGCCGGGCCGGGCCTTCTGTGACAGGCACACGTTTATTGATGTGAAACATCTATAGCCGCACGTAAAACCGATTTCTGGCGTGGCGACGCATGCAGTGGCGACGCGTCGCCACGCTATATGATGCTATACATATAATATATAGTCTATATGCAGTAGTGTGTTATGTGAGTGTGTGTATTTCGAAGTCACTGATTAAACGAATTAAGTAGTCACGATTTGAAATAAATTCGTAAATTTTTGTATTTAATGAAAATAAATGTTTATTCAATAAATAGTCATCGTTATCTGGAAAAACATCGTAATATTTTATTTTATCATTATGACATATTTAGTTCCTATCACAATCTGTTCTTTTCTGCATACTTTTACAAAATAATGTCGATGTTTCACATCTGCCAGGCGTCCCGTGACGGCTCACATTTTTTGACCAAGAAGTCATTTTACCATAATTTGTGCCTTTACAAGCAAGTTATTGGAATCGAAACATCACAACACAACAAGTTAGAGGTGAGGTAGGACCTTACTATCACATTATATTTCTTAAGGTCCTTAGAGGTAAAATATTTAATGCGGAAATGTTGGAGAGACTGGGGTTGCGTGTGCCAAATAACCACACTCGACGTGGTAAGCGGTCGCAATTGCTGGCAGTGCATCGGGCGCGTACGAATTTACTCAGAGAAGCACCATTTACGCGTATCTTGCGCACCCTAAATATGATTGCTTGTGAGACAGATATATTTAGTTGCACACTAGCTGAATTCAAAATAATTCAAAAATTATATATAATTAGTTATTTTTTTATATGTTTTAGTTTTTAAAATGTTTTTAGTTTAGTTTTCTTGTATTCTTCTTGTATTTGTATTAAGTTACTGTAAAAATAGGAAAGAGGAAAATAAATAAATAAAACTTTTCCCCAAAACTCCCTAATGGCATATTAAAGTAAGAAAAGTAAAAAGAAATATGGATTTGTATTCATTTTTTTTAAATATTGCTATTTTACCCAATAAATTAAATAAATACTTGACATAGTATAACATAGTAGTTTTATATGTATATGTCAACGTAAAATTGTAAATACCGTTAGGTTGTAATCTATCTCGCGAGATTGTGAACTGTCGAAAGATTGTGAACCTCAACATACTGTTTACAATTTAACATATTATTATTCGGTAGATTGTAATCTATCGAAGTGAAACTGAAAATAGATTTTGCTTTTACGACTTTGTTACCCGGGGAAAGCAATGTATACATTGATATTATTTTTATAAGCAATTGCACAGCTTATATTTTCTTTAATCTCTACAGTAAAGAATCTTTAAAATAAATAAATGGAGTTCATCCATACATAACATCACAGATTGTCATATCACCTGTGATATTACTCATTTTAAATTCCTTTTTACCTGTTTGTCAAACTCTTCTTCATTTTCCATCCACATGTAGTCAGAAAAGTCATCAGGTGGATACCCTGGACCTGCTGCACCATAGTAACCACCACCCATCATGTAACCTATTAATCAATCAAAATACTAATATTAAATTTCATATGAAATATTTAAATAATTTTCAGAAAAAGTTATATAATATTCTGTTTTTGTTTCTTTGTTCATAATAATAATAAGATCTCTAACTGATAAAATAGCAATATAACTATAAAAATCCATATATGTCATGTTTTATTCAAAATTTGTCACTTGAAAGTACAGACCTACTTTAATATGGAAAATAATCAAACCAAAAGTTCTTACTTCGTTAGACATGCACATTTTGTTTTGTCATTCTTGAACCAATTTAAATTTATTGAAGAATTCAAAATCAATGAAGCAGACAAATGTTACCATAAATTTTGGGCACCACACCTCATTAAAATATCTACTTACCGCACTCACTTGAGTACATATTCTGTCCCATGCCCCAGTGGACTATCATACACTCACCGCTCATTGGGCCCCCTCTTGGCATGTGCACAGGGTATACAGGTGCAGGTGGTCTTAGTACACCTGCGTCTCCACTACCAACAATCCCACCACCCACTCCGTTATCTATGATCACACCATTTGGCTGGAAAAATAATTTCTTATTAGTCTTTGAAGAAGAACTTTTTAAATAAGTTATTTAGAGTGAAGTGCTTATTTATATCATTAAAATATAAGTAAGAAGAAGAAGATATACTGCAGATGTATGCTACCTTAGATCCTACTTTCACAAACCATTATTTACATATAAATATAAAAACACGAAACTTGACTGCGGTAAAAATAGAACAAAACCTACTTTTAACAACTGGATTATTTTACATTTTACTACTTTTATAGATAGGCCGGCAACACACTCGCGAACCCTCTGGCGTTGAGAGTATCCATGGGCTGCGGTATCACTTAGCATCAGGTGAGCCTCCTGCCCGTTTGCTCCCTGTTCTATAAAAAAAAGTATAAATAACTATAAAATCAAAAAATCACCTGCCACTGTCCATGTTCTTCATTGCCATAATATGCTCCAACATTTCCAGTCTCTGGTATTTTCATAATTGTAACACTCAGTTACTGTGTATAAACCAATGCTTAATGTAGATTAATAATTAATAAATGTAGGCACTCTTCTCATAAGTTTATCAAATATATTTTTCTGAGGTAATCTGTTTTTCATTTCTAAATTTCAGTGCATCTAGAATTAAAATTCATATTATTTAACATTATCCTCCAGTATAGCTGGGTTTGTTTAGGTATCCTAAGTTTAAATAATGAATGTATACCACAAAATTATTTTTAGTTTGGGTTAAGATGGAACAGAATATATAAAAACGATTGTAAATACAAATGTGCTAGACATCTATCATAGCAATCAATGTATAGACCACATAAGGTTTTCTACGCAACACATAAAAAGAAATAAGTATTAAGTTTATATTATCTTTATGCTATGGCAGGCCTTTTTAAGTTAAAATCATTACAGATTAAACAAAATTAGCATTTTCCATTTCTGTGCATGCTTCAAGAAACATAAGAAAAATTTACATAAACACCACTTTCTAAACTACTAACGAATATATTAATTCCATCTAAAAGTAAATTTTAAATATGAAATATGCTAAAATTTCAGTTATACCTCATACTTGACAGCTTAAAGCTAAAATGTATTTACTGGAAGCTTAAAACTAATACTTATATAATATAATACTTGATAATGTTTATTGGTAAAGGGGTATATATAGGGCTCAGATAATGAGTATATTCGGAAGATAATATACGCAGGAACGTATATAATGCACCACGAGGTGACACGCGGATTGTTCCATATAAACCAATTCATAGGTAGTAATCTACTATGAATTGTTTAATCAATATCAATAAAAATTAAAATAGATACTTTATAGAATTGTCAACATGGCCAATAAATAGTAAATACGCATATCAATGAATGGAAGATATACTGCAGATGTATGCTGCCTTAGATCCTACTTTCACAAACCATTATTTACATATAAATATAAAAACACGAAACTTGACTGCGTTAAAAATAGAACAAGACCTACTTTTAACAACTGGATTATTTTACATTTTACTACTTTTATAAAAATGCCAGCACGGTATATAACAATTGATAGGCTACGCAAGCAATTCTGCTGTGTAAAATTGAAAGCGAAAACACGTGTGTACACGAATTAATTTAAAATGATGGTAACTTACATATTAAACACACTTCACACACGATTTTATAACTTTTATGTATTACGTATTTCCAAATATTGCTGTTTCGTTGCACGATCTAACAGTTTAAATAACACTTAGGAATAACCTAAAATCATAACTTTTCACTACACCCAAGAGTGGTCGTGGCGCAAATGGCGACCGTTATGAAGTATGAACTTCGTCCGAAATACACCCCAAAATAACTTCACGGTAGTGAAACACCGGCTTTTGTCTTTGTTTTTATCGTTTTGTATGGATATTTTGATGGAGAATTATTTATGTAATTACCGTTCTAAAAGAGAAACATGCTCTTGTTAATTTAGGATAAGCCAAAACTGTGTCAATATGGCAACGAGTTACTCGTTGAGCTCTGTTATTCTATTTTTAAAAACTAAATGCCGTTAGAACTCTTTTCACCAAAAATATTTATATTAAGAAATGAATTTAAATTTTTTAATTTCATTCCTATATACTATTATTTTATTTACAACTTTTGTAAGTAAATAGTAAACATACTGCATAAAGTTATATAGGACCTAGATTTGGTATAGTTTATAGTGTGCGTTTTCCAATTACAGCACTAGAGCGCATTTTGCGGCATAATGCTCAACGTTGAGTGTTCCAACTACAGCAACGCTTCGCACAATTGAGCACTCTCAAAACGAATGCTCTCGCAAACAATACCAACACAGTGACAGAAAATTGACCAGTATTTTTCTTTAAGTTGGCATTTATCGAAATTTTCGTTAGTAAATATTATTTATTGTTGAAAAATTTGTAAGGCTTTCGTTTCGTCGTAGATTTTGAAAATAATTAAAGTTATTTCAAACTGCTAAAAAAATAAATATTAGTATGGATGAAGGTATAAATATGTAGTTACTTTTTTTATATTCCACATTTAAAATATGAATACAATTTTATTTTAAAATTCGGATCTGTAAACAAATTTACTTTACAGGATTATACTTTAGAAAAAATTGCAATGGTTTTGAAAAAGTATATATTTTTTTAGAAATCATTAAAAAATATTACTCAAAACGTAAATGATGTAAACTTCTTACATGAAACTAAATATTTTACTGTTAATTTAGCTTGTTAAAACCTTATATTCTTTAAAGGTTTTCTCTTATTTCAGTAAAAAAATTTAATGAAATAATTTGATTATTAAATTAAGCGTAAAAAGTTTTCAACCAATTATTATTGTTTACCACATTATTTATACATTAATGAGGTTGCTAACTCTATTCAGACCATTTTTTTGTCAACACTGACCGCACTCTGCTGATGCATTTGAAAACTAATTCACGTTCCAATTAAGCTTCAGCATTATGCGGCATTGTGCGGCACTGAGTCGAAAAATGCTCTGTAATTGGAAAACGCACAGTAGTTACTAGCTAGTGCGTAGCGAATGATTATCTGGGATAATTTTCTGCCAACCAAAAATTGAGATTATGTGCGTTTTCCAATTACAGAGCATTTTGCGACTCAGTACCGCACAATGCCGCACAATGCTGAAGCTTAATTGGAACGTGAATTAGTTTTCAAATGCATCAGCAGAGTGCGCTAAGTCAGTTTTGACAAAAAAATGGTCTGAATAGAGTTAGCAACCTCATTAATGTATAAATAATGTGGTAAACAATAATAATTGGTTGAAAACTTGTTACGCTTAATTTAATAATCAAATAATTTCATTAACATTTTTTTACTGAAATAAGAGAAAACCTTTAAAGAATATAAGGTTTTAACAAGCTAAATTAACAGTAAAATATTTAGTTTCATGTAAGAAGTTTACATCATTTACGTTTTGAGTAATATTTTTTAATGATTTCTAAAAAAATATATACTTTTTCAAAACCATTGCAATTTTTTCTAAAGTATAATCCTGTAAAGTAAATTTGTTTACAGATCCGAATTTTAAAATAAAATTGTATTCATATTTTAAATGTGGAATATAAAAAAGTAACTACATATTTATACCTTCATCCATACTAATATTTATTTTGTTTAGCAGTTTGAAATAACTTTAATTATTTTCAAAATCTACGACGAAACGAAAGCCTTACAAATTTTTCAACAATAAATAATATTTACTAACGAAAATTTCGATAAATGCCAACTTAAAGAAAAATACTGGTCAATTTTCTGTCACTGTGTTGGTATTGTTTGCGAGAAGCTCGCGAGAGCATTCGTTTTGAGAGTGCTCAATTGTGCGAAGCGTTGCTGTAGTTGGAACATTCGACGTTGAGCATTATGCCGCAAAATGCGCTCTAGTGCTGTAATTGGAAAACGCACTATATGTTTTACGTGTACGTTGCTCACTGTCAATTTTCAACATAACCATTGATAGACTTTCAATGATAGTATTTATTTACTTTTGAAATATAACCTTAAAATAACATTAGAATTTATCACGTGCTATGATCCAGTTTCATTAACAATATAACTAAAATATGACAGAATTAACAGCAGATGTGGTGTATCCGAAACGATTATCTTATCCGATGATAGTTAATTTTCAAAATGCATATGTTACGGCCGAATTTAATGATACCAAGTGTTCACTGTTTACTAATGAAGATAACGACAAAAAAACAGTATTAACTCAACTGGGAGATATTGTTTATACAGGAGAAGAAGAAAGTGAATCAATAGGGAAAACATTGTTAATCGCTCGAGATCGAAATACAGGGAAAGTTCGCATAATAGAAGCAGGTCATGTTGAATTAAAACCAGTCATTAAAAATGATCTGAATGCATCTCAACTCCTGGAGACGAGTGGATTAGAGTTAAGCCGTAAATTTGGTTCAAAGAAGCAGAAAAAACAAATGGAACAGAGAGAGAAATTAAAGATGAATGTCGAAACAGTTACTCAACAGGTAAAAAGTTTGTTCTACTATAATAAATGTTAGTGAATATACATAGTTAGAATTATTATCTAAAGGAAATTAAATATATGCATGCTAGATTTCCCCCAATGCTTAAGTCATTTTAAATATTTGAACATTGTTTCTCTTTGGTGCTAATTTTGATGCACTTTTTCTGTAGATAAGTATGTACTAAAATGTTGCAATTATTGAATATGGTTATATATTAATGAAAATAAATATATTTTACAAAATGTTTTCAGGTTGAAAAAACTATAGCAAATGTGAGTGTAGATCAGCTTGATATATCTAACTATGAGAATATAACTGAATCAGATGATTTCTATGTACCACCAATAAATAGAACTGCCACAAGTGTTGAAGATGTTTATGACACAAAGAAAATAATTAATGAAGATGATTTTGAAAAGATTTTATCTGAAATTGAAGATAAGGATTGTAGTGAGGAAATACTACCATCCATACAAGCTATAGTTGATAAAAATCCCACAGAAATGCAAAAAGTATATGGCATTTATGCAAGTTGTCTAGCAAAATTCTTTACTGCAACTATGAGAGACATAAACAAGAAAACTTATCACATATGTAATAGTTCAGTTACACTAAACACAATCATAACTCAAAATTTTACAACATCTATTAATAATAAACGTGGGCGTCCAACAGAGTATAAAGATAAAGCATTCTGTCATTTTGTTGTTTTATTACTTTTAATGAACAATTTTAAAATATCTATGGATACTGTGTGTGAGGTCATGAAAATTGCACCTAGGACTGTTTTAACTAAAGTAAGAGTAACAGGAGCAACGCAAATAAAGCAAGGTGATAAAAGTGTGTTGCATTTAAAATTACCTCTACAAGTCAAAGTGTTTAAAAGAAGGAAATAGTTTCATAACTAATATATGTTATAATTATATAGTTATAAAGTAAAAAAATAAATATAAATAATAAAGTAATTAAATTAAGTTTAATGAAATCCATTTTTTTCTTTATACCTTGGTTATAATTGTGCATGAGCTTATCAAATCCTGAGGCTAATTCTGTTTAAAATCCTAAACATTGTAAAACAATTGATACAATAATTTAACAAGACTTCTCAGAAATTCCATTTAATAGATTTAAACATGGTCTTCTAAAAGGGGATCTGTGAATTTCCACAATTTTCTTTAAATGTATATTATTACAATCTTTTTTATTTTGTAGATATGTAAACAAAAGTCTTCCATATTGCTTATCTGTGACACAGTCTCCTGATGCCTCTTTCAGTTTAACAAATATAAAATTGTCTATATTCTCAATTCCTGTACAATTTTTATAACAAGCATGAATAGAAAACATGTGTCTCATAAATGTATTAGAAGAAATATTAGACGCCATAATGATTTTCAAAATGTCAGTCTGTTTAGACGGACTCAGAGTAGAAACAAACTCTTGTAAAATATTTGTACTAGTTTCATCATTCACCATGTTTTTTAAAATTATGTGGAACTGGGCTGGGTAAACATTATATGCATTTATCATAACATCTAAACACAACCGACTCTGGTGTCGTTTAAAGTAATGCGGTAAAAAATATTTAAAAAATATTTCTATATACTTCAAGTTTATGTGGTTTTTCATCATGTGATTAAACAATTTTTCAGCACATGTATCATCTATATTCTGTGCTAATTTTGTTAATAATTCGCCATTATTGGCATCTTCAAATAAAATATTAATATTTAATATTGGGTCCGCTTCTATCTCTCTATATTTGTCGTCAGTGTAAGTCGGATTAACAATTATTTCCATTTCTTCTGAACTCTCTAGATTACATACAGCTAGTGTTTCTTCAGCATTATCACTTACTTTGGAGTCCATACTGACTAAAAATCGTTCTTTCCATGCATTAGTCTGCTCATTTTGTTTAGCTAATTCTATACATCGTTCTAGAAGTGCAGTTGAAGATGGTGAAAATTGATACATGACAGATATATTTTGTTATAATCTTCACAATATAGTTTATTATACTTGAGACACGATAGCTTTATGCAAAAAGATAAAAAAAAAATGAGCAAAAGATCCTCTCTCTTTCAACAAGTCATGGGCATGGGCGATGGCTCAGTTTTTACTCTTTAGTTTTCAAACAAACACAAATTTTAACAGACATGAGACATACTTTTCACTATTGTGTCAATAATTGACATATCATAATATCACAATTATTATCACATTATCTTTTAACATCTGAAGTTGGCATCAGTGTGGCTGACCTATGAAAAATAAATTTCCTCATATCCACTGTACATGCATAATCATAATATTGTCATGTATCTTCTATTGATTACTTTTGTCTGTCAAAATTTTTAAAGTTAATTTTTCAATAATAATATCATTACCATTTTAGCTCAAAAAATCAACGTAAGTTTGACTGCAAAATTAGCGAGAGTTGGTTGGAGTTAGTTGGAGTTGGAGAGACAAATTGTAATGAGATATTGCTGAAAAATTCCACAAATAATTTGAAATTCATGTTATTACGAAAGAAAATAGAAAATTAAAACTGTCAGTTTTTTACCCTAACAATTGGCAATTATATGGCAGCTCGAAGCCTTAGGCGATATTTAATTTTTTATTAAAGAAACGTCTAGCGACTAGCAGTAGCTTATTGTCAGTTGGAAAATTTCATTCAGTGCGAACGTATAGGTATATTACATATAATTATGATTTAAATTCGTAAAGCAGGTCAAATTCAATTGGAGTTTTTTTGTAAGTATTATTTGTTTACTATATACAGATATAGATATATTTTATCACCTAAAAGGAGTTTATTAAAATGTTTTATATGTTTGTTAGGATTCTAATTTATTAAATAATTGGATAACCTTTCGAATAATTCTCAATCTACGCCTACAACTTTTATTATTGTGTTTTATATGTAAAGAAACTGTTCCTAATGGTTATATTATATATCTAAAATTAATGAAGGGAACAATGCTGATAGAGTTGGAGATTACACTTTATACAACTGCAAAAAATATTCCACTTTTTCTTGCAGATTAAATATTTAGTTTCCTTATACACTACGTATTACCTAAAAATATTTTTTTTATTACCTAAAAAAAATTGTTAATTCAGTGCTACTTAAGCGCGTTTTTTTTAAAATAAAAGAGCGAGACTACTATTCTTCTGTGTAGGTATCATACCTATTTTTATCAGTTTATTTAATAAGTTTACCCCGGTCCTAGTTTATGTACAGATGTACATAAACATTATGTTATGGGACGTCAACGGTTCTTACATAGTTCTGGGATGTACAAGGCGAATTATGTTGATAGGTTTTACAGTGAGGGATTACAGTTTATTTCAATTTTTTTTTAAATATGTCGTGAAGATATATTACTGTCTTTTCTTTTCCTAAATAAGTTAGTATTTTTTGCGTAAAGTTGTAGATTAGGTAGGTATTTATTTATTTATCATTATGAAATTAAGATAAGTTGACCCTGTTACGAATCAACTTGGGACTAGACAGTAAGCGAAACAGGATTTGTACCAGGATAGTATAAATAAAAGCGGGTCATTCTAGTTTTTGTTGGTTGAACGGATAAAGAATTCTTAGTATATTTATAAGGTTAGCTACCGGGCTAACTGACACTTCTACACATTCTAATTAAAATGTATCTCAGAAAAATGATAAAAAAATTAAATCCTACCTAATCGAGACAAACATATAACGTTATTTATTTGTATTTAAATCGTTATTTTGATATTTTATCTGTGATCTTAATTGTTATAATGATTGTATTTCTCATACGTTATCAATAGAATTAACCGCACGGTCAGTTAGCTCACGCTAATCAGAAGTTAGCAAATATTTATAAATAAATGACATTATTACCATTCCCAGTAAATACACTGATAAGAGACGATAGTTGTTTAATGAGGTTCAATAATTAATTATTTACTTTATATTGACGTTTTATGCCAAAACTTTATAAGGGACCTCCGGTTTCTATCTTATGCCGGCCATACACACTACGGTCTACCGGAGAGGTCCACCTGTGCAGGTATGCCTGCGCAGGTAGACCGAAATGTGTGTGGGAATAGACCTGTGCAGGTTTTTGAACTTGAGCAGGCGACCGGCGCAAGATCGAAAATCGATTCTTTCGAGTGACACCTTACGGTGTACCTGTGCGTGTGTGCGTGTACTCCGGTCGCCTGCGCAGGTTGTTAAGATAGTAATCGGCAATGTATCTACATTTACGAGTATTATAGAAGTAACCATTTCAAGTAATTTAAGATATGTTTTCTCGTCCATTCGAAGATAGTTTTTAAAATCTTCTGGTTCAAATTTCAATTCATTTAATAAATTAACATGACTATATGTTTTCCTTTTCAATAACCAATGCTTACACCACTTTCTTCGCTTGTTTTTCGTATCATTTTATTCAAAATTAAAGCAAGACCTAGCAACGCCAGCATGTCATCGTCCACATTCGATGCCATCGCAGAGAACTGAATACCGCTCCGATACACCACATCGTCCCCATACACGCTACCATTATTCGGTTGACCTGCGCAGGCATACCTGCACAGATTACCTCTCCGGTAGACCGTAGTGTGTATGGCCGGCATTATTCTTATTTCACTATTGCCAACTAAATTAATAAACACATAATATATCACAGTGAAAATCTTAGTGAATTTTGTGTGATATAAAGTGCCCTGTAAAAGCTTGAGGTTCATAAGTGTACATTGCGTTACCTATATGAATAAATAATTTTGACTTTTTTGAAAATATTTAAAATAATGTACCTACTACTACTTCATAGCTCGTAAGTTGTACGATTTGTTTTTTTGGTCTTCCGTCTCTACATACGCGAACATCGCCATCGCGTCAATATCCGATGGTGCGTTAACCGCTTTTTTATTCAATCAAATACGGATTACAAAGATTTATTTTTGTTTCAGAAAATGATAGTAGCAGTTTTGCTTCTCGTGAGCGCAGTGTCTGGGATACCAGTGGAGCTCCCGAAGAGTGTCGAGAAATGCGGTTATGAGGTTGATATACTTTTTTTTATAGAGTAGGTACACTTAGAATACAGATACACGCAAAAACCACGGAAAATGCATGTCTATCAATTATACGAACATTGGTATGTTTAAGCACACAAGCACATTCCGAATACAAAAGAAAAAAATCATTCTTAGAAGAAGAGAAAACATGAAACAATATAATTTAATCGCAAAATATGTTAAGTGCAGAAGTAGACAATAATACAATTGTATTTAACAGCATATTATTTAGAAAAATATTCATTGAGTTCTTACGTTTTTATGGAGAGAGAAATTGGAAATAGGGCTAAATAAAAAAAAAAGGTGAAACTAAGTTCGAAGTTTTTTTAATAAAATTATAAGTCTTTTTTTGATACAATTTTTTCGGTTCCGCTAAATCATCTTTCAGTCAGTCTCGCATTTTTATTTATTGTTTTTTTTTCTTTTTATTATTGCTTATTAATAAATAAACTAAAAGTACAGAAAAAAACAAAAAAACACTAAGGGGTTTGCTTGAAAGGCTACACCACATTACAAATTATAAACTAAAAATTTACAAAAAAAACTCTTAATACAAAAAACTAAACGCAAAAAAAATACTTTTTATACCTTATACATAATATTACAGCTGTCTTAAATTTATGAAGCCAAGCAATCACATCCTAGGTTGGCAAGAAATACCTTAAGTGTTTTAACCCTTGTAATTTTCGGGTGCAAGATTTGAGGGTAAACAGTTAACAAGGATTAATATTATGAGGTTGTACGATCTCCGTAAATATTTATTTCCTATTTTTACAGTTACTTAATACAATAGAATACTTATAATTATAAAAATTTAACTAAAAACATACTATAAACAAAACAAGAAAACATAAAAACTTAACCTTTTTATATCTAATCATAAATAATGCAATTCTTGTGAATTCAGCCAGTGTCAGTGCCAGCCAGTCAACTGAATACTAAACAGTCTTAAATGCAATAATATACAGTTTGACTCCCTAATAGGTCTAGTTATGTTCCATTGCAGTGATGATGGTATCGGGTTCGATTCCCTGGGATCCAATAATGAAATATGATGAACACTAAAAGCTGTTGGTTCTGCGTCTAATTTTATTGATGGGTAGTCTAAATAGAGCGGCCGTGGTCGGTTCAGTACTTTATATTAGATGATGTTTTATTATAATACTTGTCTTAGTGGCTTAGATAACCAAGCCAATTTAATTTCTCTATACGTTTTGTTGAAGTACCATATGCCATGGGACCAACACATTTCTTGCGTATTTCAATCCAATTTTGACTACTAGATATTGATATTGCAATCCATTTCTCATAAAATACTTTTTGATAACCGATCGACGGATCGTTTTTGTAAAATATCTTTGAATTCGACAGTTCAATTTTTTACTTTTATCAATATAATTTGTGAAAAGCTGAATTGGAAATAATCTTAGATTATTAATCGAGTAAAGCGGCCGTAAGTAGGTGATTTTTTTGAAGTTGTACTTCTTTAGGCGCGTTATGAAAAATTGATGAGAGTGAAATTTTACGATTGCGCGCGCACCTATGACACAAAATTGGCAGTGTGATATAGCGTGCGCGAGCGAGATGGGAATAAGACAAACTACAAGTAAAAGAAATAGAATATGCGTGAAGCTAACTTCACGCATATTCTAGCTTAGCAGCTTAACAAGAATTTTGAATGACCATGACAATTGACATCTGACAATGACATTTACCTTTTAAACAAATATAGGAGTTTTAATTATTGTTTAAAATTAATAATTATTAAATTAAAAATTAAATTATTATATTATATACCTAGTTATTTTCATTATACAAAATATTTGTGAAATAATATAAAATATTTGTGAAAAAACTGTGCTAACCTTCCTGAGTGCTTCAATACAATTGAGGTTAACTATCCGTATGTATTATCGAGTATTATTGTTGATTAAAACTGAAACATGAACCATTATTCATTGCTTTTGTTTATTGCGTTTGTTACAGCAACTTTTTAGAAATATTCTACGACCCTATATATCAATAATTGAGAACAAAGATTTAAGCACGAATACTAATAAGGAGAAAATGAAGGCTTGGAGCGATATAACAGAGAAGTAAACATTTTAATAAGTACCTGCATCTCAAAAAAAATGACCACATTATTTAATCAAAACATCAGATTTAATCTAGCAAATATAAGGACAAGAGACAAAAAACAATTGATGAATCAGTGGAAGTGCACTAAATTGAATACAAAAAAGAGTTGTCATCTTATCGCCGTGAAACATCAAAAACTGGAGGTGGAACAAAGCCACCATCACCTTCTCGAGACACAATGGTTTGAAGTAGATTTCAATGAATTTGATTGTGATGGTGTCGAGGTAGGAATGTTAATTATAAATATGATGTATGGTGATGTTCAAGGTTCAACCTTTCAAGCATAGGCATATGCTTACAACATTACTTTATTCCCCTACAGGGTAGTTAGAGATATTGTAATACCTCAAAACATCCATGTTGCACTTGTAGTACCGAAACTCTGTCCTGCCAGAAGTGAGCCCATTCCCACTTATAATGGACAGTGGGTATAATACACCTTAATACCTGAGTGCGAACCACTCACCATGATACTTAAATTAATAGATGTTATTTATATATTTCAGGTTATTACAAATAAAATCATTTTGGAAACAATTGATATCCCAAAAGCAAATAAAGCCAACAATGACAAGGTAATAAATCAGTTTTGACATAACTTGAATACTAAAAAAGCAAACAAAGGTGTGCACAACAGTGACAACATAACTTAACAATTTCATTATTTTGTAGGATTAAAGAAAGGTTAAAGAAAATCATGTCGAACTGAACAACAAGAATCCCCAAACAACTCCAAAGAAACCTACAAGGAAGACACCGGTATTATATTTAAATTATCTCTATCTCTAAATAGAATAAAAGAAAGTTGCTATCCAGGTCTGTAGCATGTGCTACAAATTATATTATTAACACATTTATATAATTATATTAATATAAATGTGTTAAAAAATTTATAATATGAATTATAAAAAATTTTAAGTTTTGCATGGACAGAGCTTAAATTAATATTCTCTTATTTGTTGCAGAAAGCAAGTAGTTTTGGAGAAGCCTCGTAGATGCACAACCAAGTAATGATTAATTTAAAATTACAAACCGAAATTCTGATGAAGACATTAGAGTCACTTAAAAATAAATAGTATAATGAAATAAAAATGTTTTAAAGATAAATAGTGTTTTATTTGTTTAATGTAAGAGAATAATAATAAATATTTATTTAATTAATTTTTCAAATGTAAACTGAACTTTATTGACTTTAATGACTCCTTTTCCAGTCTTTGATTATTTAATTGTAATTAATTATTTGCATGCAATCAAAAACTATTTTTAATAATGCCAAAGAAGTATAACTTCTTACGCGCGTACATAAGTACACGCACCCCCTTTTTTTCTTATACAATCCTTCGACAAGTGCTACTACAGACACAATTCTAATTTTATTGTTCTAGAGTTGTACACAAGCGGAGCCGGGGGTGCTAAACGTACACATAGTCCCACACACACACGACGATGTAGGCTGGCTTAAAACTGTCGATCAATATTATTTTGGTAGTGAGTATTATAATTTTAATAAAATATATATAAAATTCTCCTGTCACAATGTTCGTTCCCATACTCCTGAAAAATATAATAAAGTCCTTAAACGAAAAACTAAAATTTTATTTATTAACAATTATTGTATGGAGATGTATGTATGTATGAAGACATTTTAGTCAGCACTCGGGGGTATTGGGAAAGGTTTGGAAATATGTGATTTATTTAATAAAACACTATTTTGACCGGATTGAAGTTATGTATTATTATAAATTTACAACTATTTAACATAATTTTAAATTTATCCGACGTTTCGCGTGCTTTACAGCGTGCGTGGTCACGGTCAAAATAGTGTTTTATTAAATGAATAAAAGTTATGATAATCAAAGACAATACTATATGTGATTTATATTATATTTTAGTAATATTATTATTTTTTAGGTCGAAACAACATTCAAAAGGCGGGGGTACAGTATATTTTAGACTCAGTCGTAAAAGAGCTGTGGCAGGATCCTAAGAGACGGTAAGTTATGTTTTTAAATTTTGTTCCTGTTTGCCTATATGTTCCTGCCTTGCGATTCTGTCACTCACTTTTCGAACTCACACAGCGGTTTTCGCAGCGGCGGCCGCGCTCAAATCAGTCGTGAAGCAGTCATTTTACGATTTGGCACTCTGATAAGGAGGGAGCTTGTAGTTTATTGTTTATTAAAATGCCAAATCGTAAAATGACTGCTTCACGACTGATTTGAGCGCGGCCGCCGCTGCGAAAACCGCAGTGAGAGTTCGAAAAGTGAGTTACAGAATCGCAAGGCTGGACGTAGTTTCCGTTACAATAATTTTTAACTACATATGTGATTTCTATGTTCATATGTGTGTAAAATTTGAAATGTCATATTTTCTTTTATTTTTAGATATGCTTATTTTTTTTGGACTTATAAATTTAATTAATTACGGTTCGAGTTTATGATCGATTAGTATCCATTAAACGTTGTTACTTAGCCATTGATATTTTTTATTAAAGGGCCGGCAACGCACTCGCGCACGCATTTAGCGCCGGTATCACAGAACATCAGATGAGCCTGCTCGTTTACCCCATGTTCTATAAAAAAATCTAAAATTGGTTGATGCAGTGAAGTATCTACTTGCCAAAAGTTCAATAAAATATCCGTTTTGGCTTCACAAGACAGATTTTCTCTTTGTTTAATTGTGAAGTACATTAGTGAAAATTTCAAATTAAAAGAGTTGTATTTTTTATTATAATGAATTGGTTTTACGAATACAGATTATGTTAGATTGTTAAATCTATAGTAAAGGTTTAAACATCGACTACAATTGGGAACTTGGTGCCAACAAAGAATAGAGCAGGATCATACGTACAAACTTTGCTATTTGACTGAATCACCTTTTCAAACGCTTTGTCAAAATTTTTTCATTTATTTGAGACTATGGTAGGAACTTTTAGGGCTTAGGCCCGGAATGAGTTATGAGAAAAATATCGGAAGGCCGGATTGCGCTTCTCCACTATATCCGATCCGACAATAATCGATACTTGTGTATTTATCATGCAACACTTATATTAACTAAAACCCATATACTTAATTTTATTAATAAAACGTTCTAAATTCTGAATATTTTATTGCCCTGGTTAGTTTTTTACTTTTTTTATATTGGCTATCTTGAAATATTATAATCTACTTAATAAATAGTTCACTAATACTATGGTATAAAAATATAAATAAATAGCAACATAATTTGGTTTGGTCCAGGTTATCCAGATTCTTTCAAATTAAAGAAACTATAAATAAACCTGTGAATAATAATTTATAACCTCTTGGATACTTGGATATACTTGGACCGATAAAACTACGTGTTCCAATCTAGCATATTATCGGATCGTAAAAAATCGGATTCCGGAGTAGTGGAGAAGTACGTAAGTACTGTTGTGAGTTTCTAAATCGGATCGGTAATTAACGTTTGCCGGACCGGAGCAGTGGAGAAACGGCCTTACTGTAGGAATTAAGCTAGTGTAGGTTTCTTAAGAAATTATGGAGTCTAAGCTTTCTTTAATGGGATTATCGTGTTTCATGTTACAGCTTAACCCCACTAATAAAAAAAACTTGAAATGCTTAGAAATATTTAATAGTAAAAATTACCGACTTCAAACAAAGTGTTTCCCCAAGGGAGTCGGCATAAGTTTAAGGAATTAAATATTATGACACTATCTGGTCAATATATTCTTGAAGCGTTTGCTGTATACAGTACAAAAAAATATAAACGATTTTAAAACAAATGGTGACCTTCACCAGTATAATACTCGAAACAGAACTAATCTAAGCGTATGACCAACCAGGCTCCAGAAGATAAACCACTCCTTATATGGAAATTGTATTCGTTTTTATTCCTAAGCGAAATTAGGGAATTAAAAATATGTTTAATACTAGAATATTACCCGTATAGACTCCAATTTTATTGTTTTTCCCACTTAGTTTCATCTACGTTGAGACAGCGTTCTTCTGGAAATGGTGGGTCCGCCAGGGGGATGACGTACGTCACAAGGTTCATACCATGGTGAGGCAGGGGAGGCTGCAATTCGTAGGCGGTGCGTGGAGTATGAATGATGAGGCCGCTTCGCATTATCAGAGCACCATTGATCAGTTCACACGGGGTTTGAGGTAAGATATTTATATACCAATGTTATCGTGAAAGTATCCAATCATTAGAGGTCCCAGTCCTCAAAAATATTGTGATTCAAATAACCAAAAATCTATGCGCAAGTTGGAGATAGATTTGCTCATTTTAAATACGTAAATAATTTATATAATAACTATATTTAAAAATAACTACCTACTATAATAAAAAAAACTGGGGTTGATCGTAGAGGGATGAAAATTAGGGGTTGTAAATAAAACATTTTTTTGGGGTGGTCACCCCTTATCACTTAGGGGTTTGAAAGATAAATAGTAGCCAATTCACAGACTTACTGAATATGCATGCAATCGGTCGAGCCGTTTCGGTGGAGGATGGGAACAAACATTGTGACACGAGAATTTTATATAATACTAGTGGACCCCACAGACGTTGTCCTGCATGATATTTAAAGCGATTAGGATATTAAGCAAAGTATGAAAGTACCGACTGCAGTGCCATCTGCCGGGCTGATTTGTGAATCTAAACCATTCCCAGATCCCCTTGAACACACACAAAAAATTTCATCAAAATCGGTCCAGTCGTTTAGGAGGAGTTCAGTCACATACACACGCACAAAAGAAATATATATATTAAGACTAGGAGACCGGCCAAGCGTTGCTGTGGCTAAGGTTTTTGTTATAGTAGCATAGTAGCTAACTATTCAAGGGAAACGGTAGGAGAACACCAGTCATGGGGACCACTATACTTTTTTGGTGGTTATGCCATTAAATTGTAGCTTATGTGAAACGTCGGCACTTTCAACACAGCGCCATCTGTTAGAATTGTGACTATCAAATAGTAAACAAATATTTTGCAATAAAATAATATTGCGGGTATAAATTGAGATGTAAGCTATCCTATCTTTTAAGTTGGATCAATCTACACACGGTGTGCAAATTTGATTGGTATCGGTTCGGTAGTTTAGGAGTCCATAGCGGACAAACAACGTGACACGTAATTTATATATATTAAGATATTACATTTAAATATGTAGTATTATTGTTTTGAAATTAAAGAAAATCCGACTACAATCTTCCAAAGAAAACAATCCTGATGCTGCTCAAAGCTAAAGAAATTTCGGCCTTATTCGCAAAATATCGGTGCACTGTTTTTTGTCTCTATCCTTCAAATTGTTTTTGCGCTATAATGAAAAGAGATAGCACTTTTGAATACCATTTTATTTACACTTGCACAAAGAATAAATAATTAATAAGAAACTTAAAAAATAAAAATAATGATAATAAAAAAACAGCATAAAAATCTTTTGTCACGATTGTTCATACTTGATGCATACGGTAACGATTCCATACTTTATCAATAATTAACTATTTACAGAAAACTAAATGAGACTTTTGGAGTATGTGGTATACCAAGGGTGGGTTGGCAAATAGATCCGTTTGGTCATTCACGGGAGTTCGCATCACTTTTAGCCGGTATGGGCTATGATGGGCTGTTTCTCGGCCGTATTGACTACCAGGACAAAAGGACAAGACTGAACAATAAGGAGATGGAAATGATTTGGAGAGGGGATGACAATTTAGGTAGGTTAACCTATAAATATTTTTTTTTTAATAATACAGGTATCACTAATTCCACGTCATTAAATTTGTATAGGTAGGCATCCCTACTCATCGGCAAAGAAGACAGAGAGTGTAGGCCGAGAGAAAAAGCCGGCGTAAAAAACTCTCGGTACTCTTTAACAAATCATCAAACAACACTTATTTTAAAACAAATATCGCAAATTAATTAGAAGTAGCCTGTCTAGCACTAGTCCCAGGCCCTTTTATCATCTAGATAATTGTTAACTTTATAGTAAGCCTTTTTAAATAGCTACATTTCTTAAATTTATTAAGGCTATGTTCAGATGGCAAAAACTTGACGCGCGTTTTCAAATCGCGCGACTAGAAATTGTGGTATTTTCATACAACTGTTCACATGAGCGCGCGTTAACGCGCGTCAACGCGGCGCTCAGAGAATAAGTCTCTAGACGCAGGTGATCGCGCGTTGACGCGCGCTTTGATATTAATGTAATGTCCGTTTGCTGTTCAGATGAGCGCGCGCTTTCATCGCGATCGCATGTAATTTTGTTAATTTTCGTAATTATATTTTGTTCTCGCATTTAAAATAAGTGAAATTGAAGATACTGACATCGACTTACTAATCGATGAAGTAGAAAAAAGGTCAGCAAGTTGGAATATAGCAAATTTGTATAAAAAATATAATATAATTTGTATTTTTTTTCAAAATTGGATGAACCCAATGTGTACGTTTTCTTTTTCTATAAATTTCTTTATAATATAACCACAAAATAATAGCCTCTTCCACGTCCATTTTCTACGTTCTACCGAACTAGACTGACGAGCACTCTCGCAACGCGCGTTAGCGCTCATCATCTGAACGCTCTTCAATTTTGATCGCGCGTTGACGCGCGTTAACGCGCGTTACATGTGAACATAGCCTAAAAGGCAGAGATAAAGGAGCCTCTGGGATTTTATTAAAGAAGAGTATCTCTTTTCCCAAATAAGAATTACTAACTTTAGTCTAGTACGGGGAAATTGCAGCCTGCGTTTGTTCCGAGTATTAACATTGTGCGTATGTTCTATTCTAGTAAACTTATCACTATTTTTGTATACATACATAATATTTTCATAAATGTATTGCGAGGGAAAGGTAAGTATATGAAATCAGTGGGACTACAAATTTATATGGATCTTGGCCTCGGATTGCAACCTTTTGATATTTTTTATGGACAAGTAGGTGATCAGACGCCTTTTATTAAATAACAGGGAGCTAATGAGCTGGATGCTCATCTTTTTAAGAATTGGTACGCTCTTTTGTTGATTGAAGTATTTCCGAACCAATTCTACTTGGACCCTCTTTCGAGTTCGAGTGGGCAGTTCCACCAGTGGTGGTGCGCTGCAAAAACTGTCATAAAAAACGCACAGTAGTGGAACAACGGACGTCGAGGTGATACGGATGGTATTTCGTTTTCTGCTTTGACGTCCGATGATGAAATTCAGCTGCAGGTTTTTTTGGGTTACAATCGCGAGTGGAGACTGCAAACCAGATTATTTGCACATACAGGAAAAGACCATCTTTAACGGATTGTACAGTTTTTGTACCGACTTTCCTAACTAAAATATTGTGCAATATTTAAGTCCGAACAAAAATCAATAACTTTATCCCATAAGCAATTTTAGTATGGTACATTATTTCGCTGGTACGCTGTCAATACCCCGCGTAATGTTGTTTGTTAACCAATACTATTATAGCATCTTAGACTGGTACGAATCTATTTAACAAAAAGGATTAAATTATATAAAATAAATTACTATTATTATTGTAAAAAAATTCTACTAAATATGTTATCGCCAAAAGTCCTTTAAAATAATTGGCGTATCTAAATGGGCTTAGCCAATCCTTTCTCATAGCGAGAACAGTTTGTAATAAATAATATAAGAGCCTTCCTCAACTTATTTAGTACAAACATAATTTTTGAATTCGAACCCCAAGAAGATATCAGGTTCTCAAAAACGCCTTTTGCGAAATATATTTGTTACGTTTAAAAAAAACTAACGCTCACTAACATATACTATATATGTAGTCCCTGATAATGTAGTTTTATATTTGTGACTTCAAAAACTACGATTCAGGAGTCTGAATTATAAACTAAAGAACAAAAATAGTTTCAATTATTCGTGTATTCAAATACAATTAATTGGTTAAAATAAATAAAAATTTTCTTAAGCTTTCTACGGGAGTCTATCTGCTTAATTGTAAGGCATTATTAGGTGTATACTAATGAACTTAAACCCTTTTTTATTTCTTTTTTACAGGTGCATCATCAGACATCTTCACTGGTGTCCTATACAATACATATTCGCCGCCGCCTGGCTTTTGTTTCGACGTTCTTTGCGATGATGAACCCATCATTGATGACCCACATTCACCGATGTACAATGTTGATGAACGGGTGAGATTACGTTTTTATTTGTGACATTTAGAGCGCGTTAATTTGTCAAAATACTCGATGTATGATTTATAGTGTCAACGTCAAGTATGACAATTGACATAGATAATAATAATCCAGTGGCTATACAACCCTATATCATAGCCTCAGATTGATAAGATTCTTCATTTTTATTTTCTAGACAAGTAGGTGATCAGCCTTCTCACTGACACATGAGACATTGGTTCCTCACGATGTTTGCCTTCATCGGAGCAAGTGCTAATTTTGCACGGGAGTTCCAGTTTGTATTTACTGTGAATGAATTGCACTTTGAATCTCAATATAAATTTTTCTAATTTTATTATTATCAGCGCCATCTTTTAAGTAATCTATCTAAACCTATTTGCCTATTGCCCCCCATTTTCTATTTAGCAATCGTCCCCCACATTTGTGGCTTTAAAACAATTGAAATTTCTAAAGACATTGCAATTAAATTATCGACAATAGTTAAACATTAAACAATCAATATTAAAAATCGCGAAAAACATCAGTAATTTTGAAGCCAGCCAGGTACTCGGTCAAAAAATAAAATATGTCGTATATTCTTTTTGGATAAATCTATAAAATTTACCAACTGTTTCTACTGCATTTTTTTTTGCAATCTTATCATGATTTTTTCCACTTGGACGTGGTCCTTAATATGTTTCACAATTTAAAATATTTAAGTATTATAACAGTATTATAATTTTGCATAATTGATTGAAATTACTGAGAACCCTTAAAGCCATACAATTTTAGGTTGACAAATTCTTGGCGATATCAAAAAATATGTCAAAAAGATATAGAACAAATAATATACTTATAACAATGGGCGAAGATTTTCACTATCAAGACGCTGAGATGTGGTTTCACAACTTAGATAAACTTATCCAGTGAGTTCTAGTCATAGAGCATGGCTATTGCATGACTATTTTATGTATTACTGGCATGGCATACGAAATGTATTCAAGAGGGATTATTTATTTATTTTCAGAAATTTCATATATTTTACTTGAAAGCACCCCACAAACACTATAACTGTGTAGTAAACTATCGCCGTGAGTGGAACTTAAATCTAAACGAACGTAATATCAACATCGAATAGTATTCGTGTAGTAAACTTTTTTGTTTATGGTGGCTAACGGGCTCATCTGATGTTAAGTGATACCCGCCGCCCAAGGATACTCACATTGCCAGAAAGCTCGCAAGTGCGTTGCCGGGCTTTTAAGAATTGGTACGCTCTTGAAGGACCCTAAGTCGAATAGGTTCGGAAATACTTCAGTGGGCAGCTGGTTTCACATAGTGGTCCGGTAAAAACTGTCTTAAGAAACGCTCAGTTGTGGAACTTACGAAATGTGTAGGTCCTGTGCAGTCCGAAACGGTTTTTACGAATACCTTCATAGTTCTAACTCAGTGTTTCCCAACCTTTTTTTTCCCATACCTATCTAAAATTCTTATTTGACATACATAAATTTTAATATTAAAAATATTAATTGTTCACTTAAGTAAGGTAATTTAAGGACGAAATTCGTAGGAAATTGTTTTTGTGGTTTTCAAAACATAATGAAAAAAGTGTGTGTGTGTCAGCTACGACGCACGATTGGAGTTTACTCCTTACGAACGATAAAATGGCGATAATGTTCTGTGGCTGTCGACCATATTTTCATGCTAAAGGTGGTAAGAATATATGTTTTTATAATATAAATGTTTGTAGTAGTAATAAAACGTACCTACATCATCTATGCCCAAATAGGATTTTCTTTCTGTGACCAAAGTTACCTTTATAGTAAGAGAAGAATAAGAATGAACAATCTTTTTAGTTTTAATTTCACTGACCATTACTATTGACAAAACTCTATGGCACGCTAGACAATCTACTTTTATTTTTTACACCTGTCAACACTGACAATGTTGTAACGTGGCTGTCAAAACGTGAATTCAAAATAGAAAAGTCTGTGTAATGTATTCCACCTCATTCTTTTACACGTTCAATCCTACAGATATATATGTTTGTCTCTTTCTACATAACGCCTCAACTTTTCGTGTTACACTTGATCTTACTCCTCATAAAATTTCCGTACCGGGCCTTAGAACTCAAATCGTAACGCCTCAACTTTTCGTGTTACACTTGATTTTACTCCTCATAAAATTTCCGTACCGGGCCTTATAACTCAAATCGTTTCTTAAGGAGTAAACTCCAAAAATTCCAAATAAGTTTTCGAATGTGTACAATGAAATTGGAAAACTTTGGGAAACACTGCACTAACGCCAAACGAATTTGTATTGTGAGATTAGCTGACGCTTGATCACGTGACTTTCATGTAAATTCGTTCCTGGCATATCTATCGAAAATTATAAAGGAACTTTTAGTTATTTTATTATAGATTTAAATATAACTGCAGTCCTCTATTCTCATAACGCAACAGGGCAAAGCAGTTCTTTGATATTTTTTCCTAAAGGACCAGTACAAAACACGAAGGCGCGCATAGGATCAAAAATGTTATTTCAATCATCAATGTGAATAACCGATAGGTTATCTTATGATGTCAGATTGTGAATCCAAGTCCCATCATCTGTAATCTGACATTGTGCAATGAACAGCGGGTGTAAAGCTACCATGTTGCAACAGAATCGATTGATGTGGTAATGCACTGTATGCGATAAAACTATATTTATCTATGTAATGTTGACAGAATCTAAAACATACATACACTTTGAAATTAAAGTTACTTATAAGGAAAGTTAATTTATAAAGAATAGCGCAAATTATTAAGTTGAAATCGAATATTTATCATACGTGCGGAACATAATAAATATGTATTATATAATTACCACTTAGTACATAATAACCATTTGTATATTAATAGAATTTTTAGAGTTAGCTACGTTTGGTATTAGAATTTAACGAAGACATTATTAATATTAAATTATCTACTCCTAATAACCCTTGGACTTAGTATAACTGAAATTTGCTTTCAAATTGAAAACATGTGATGGATTCACAAAGAGTAAAAGCTTTAATTAGTAAAGTAAATAAAAAAACTTATAAAAATAAGATTATTATTAATAAATAAACTTAGAATATCACGTCGAATAATAACACAAATACTTGCGTATGGAGTTGAATTCGTTCATTCGTTCATTCGTTTCGGTACAGCTTACGTCGATGCCTCGCGCCTTCCTGAATGAATATGTTAACGTAAAATTTAAAAAACCGTTAGATTGTAATCTATCTCGCGAGATTATAAACTGTCGAAATATTGTGAACCTCAGCGTACTGCTTACAATTTAACGTATTATTATTCGGTAGATTGTAATCTATCGAAGTGAAACCATCAAATTGTGAAACGGCCATTTCCTACTTTTCTATTGGTTATAAGAGATGTGACATTCTCGTTTTCTATTGGTTATAAGTGATGTGACATTCTCGGTAAATTAATCGAATCGATTATTTCCTCATTTGTTAATTTTAAATTTAAACCTAATTTAACCATTACTTGTCAAATGTACATACATTACATTAACTTCATGTTTCAATTAGTGTAGGGTTCCGAAAATTTTGAAATTATTCAAAAATAATCTATTTTTTAAAAGTGAAAATCGATTTTTGTATTCGTTTTTGTATTCGATTTCGAGTTCAACTGAATTGAACAATTATTTAAAAAAAAAAAAATTAATATACTAACCTAACCTAACCGAATAATAATACATTTTTTGGACAGCACCGGCGCTACGGGAAATGCAGCCCCTCCACCCTTGCGTACCAAAGCACAGGCAATTTATTCAAGCCTCCGCAGCTTTGGCTTTTTGGACCAGCCTTAGCCGCTACGGCTTGCATAATGCCTGTGCTTTGTTACAGCGGGTGGGGGCTGCTCTTCCACTGCGCCTCCGATTTTTTTATATACACTCTAGGGGTAGGGCAGACAAGACCACGTGGATAGTGGGGTGCTCTGATTCGGTTTTGGGTACTTTTTGAATAATTTAAAAATTTTCGGAACCATACACTAATTGAAACATGAAGTTAATGTAATGGTTAAATTAGGTTTAAATTTAATATTAACAAATGAGGAAATAATCAATTCGATTAGGTTCAACTTTAAAAATAACAAATGAGGAAATAATCGATCCGATTAATTTACCGAGAATGTCACATCACTTATAACCAATAGAAAAGTAGAAAATGGCCGTTTCACAATTTGACGGTTTCACTTCGACAGATTACAATCTACCGAATAATAATACGTTAAATTGTAAGCAGTACGTTGAGTTCACAATCTTTCGACAGTTTACAATCTCGCGAGATAGATTACAATCTAACGGTGTTTACAATTTTACGGTGACAAATACACCACAAAATAATTTTCAATTCTAGCCAGTAGTAAGCAGGAGATTAGCGGCTTCAATCCTAAGCATTAAATTAATACTATAGATATAAAAATAAAAAATATTTGTCTGTACACCACAATCTTTAGCTGTTTAAAGCCGATGACAGTAAAACGCACTTACAAAGTTATCCCGACCGTAAAGGATAATTACAACTTCGCGACCTCGCGTAGCAAATCAAAATCGAATAGGATAAAAAAGCGGCTTTACCGGGGAAGGCGTGGCCCTTTACTACGTACTTCGCTCCTCCAGTGAGCCTCCGTCCTGCCTTTCAGGCGATTGACCATTCCGCTACTACCCAAGCCGAGGTCTGAGTCTCGCAGCAGACGCCCTTGCGCTAGTCGGGGGAAAAGCCCATTTTGACCGAGTTACGCTCGCCAAAACAGCCCTAGCAAACAGCGAGATTCCTTTAAAAAAAGGCCACTTGGGCCTTCGGGCCAGTCAGTTGTTAGACTGATCGAGAACCCTCCCTTGTGGGTGGAGGAATTGCTTAACTTTCTTCTACATGTCCGGGCTCCATTTTAAACCAATTTTTAGTCATCGTTACATGTTGTTCTTCATGCGACAAAATTATTTTATTAGAAATTGGCAATTACAGTGAAATTATTTCGCCAGGTGTCAGCGTTTTTCAAAAAGTGCCAAGAGATGGCGTCGAACTATGTCACGAATAATGTCCTGGTTACTATGGGGGATGACTTTCAGTATCAAGACGCTGGCATGTGGTTTAAAAATTTGGATAAATTAATAACGTAAGTTTTGATTCTAAAACTATGAACCTTCTCTAACTTCCTCTTTTCCTAAAGTTTTCCATACAAACAATTTTAAAATGATTACGTTTCAAGCGTTATTCAGCAACTGTGATTAGGGAGGGGCTATACGTTAATTAAGTGAGGGCCTATTATTACTTTTACAATAATGACTTAACTAAATATAACAATTTAATCGGCCCGATATTAGGTGCACGAAAAATAATCTATATTATGAACTTAACTAGTTGAGAATTGACCGGTCCGATATGAGGTATCCGATCAAAAGCTTCTGGTCTCCGTTGTCCGTTTCCTTATATAACGGTGTTGCGTAAGAGGGGTACTGGTATTGGGTATGCGGGGCAAAGGGAGTGCAATGGATATGTAACACGTTTAAAAATGTGTTATTGTTTTACACTCGCGTAAACCGAAGACAATGTTATGTATACGATATACTTCAAACATCAAAAATACAAAATTTTATTAAAAAATACTAAAAGTAACGTATTAAACGCTTAATTATGACGTAGTTTGATTAAAGATGTCCTAAAAGTCGATTAAAATAAGCAAGAAGGCAAATAATATATACTTCTACAATACGTGAAACCCGAATACCTTAACAGATGGCGCTGTCACCAATTTTATATTTAATTTTTTTTTAAATAAAAAAAATTATTTGTTGACAGCTTAATGATTTTATAAAGTATGTCACAGAACAATCTAAACGATATCGAACTAACAATGTGATAGTGACCATGGGCGGAGATTTTACATACCAAGACGCCACTATGTGGTACACAAATCTGGATAAATTGATTAAGTAAGCATTAATTCATGAAATTATTTGATGTGGTGGGGTGAATTAGAGTTGAAATTTCTACTAACAAAAAAACGAACATGATTTTAAAAATACTGAAAGGTTTACTTAGCATTAAATTATTCAAAATGTTTATGCTCAATAAATTCTAACAAGGACTTAATATTTTATATTAACTTTACCTGGCGTAATTACCTGAGTATGTTAGTTATAATAATTGCCTTGCATGAGTACCCAAGAGTTTTCTACATATCCCTACAGAGGTAAGTAGACTTATAGTAGGAGTATATCCAAATGGCTAAAGAAAAAAATAAAAAAAATAAAAATCATTTATTCATATAGGTAACACAATGTACACTTATTAACGTCAATTAGGCCAGTCATTATAGACATTCGAAATCGAAAATTTGATAATAATTCCAAAAGTCTTCAAACTTCGGTCAAGTGAATGGTACATTGGGACGACAATAAATCTCATTTTGCAACCTTGTCCGCAGTCCGGAACATTGTTAAAATTGCAATTAAATTAATTTTTGCTGTATGGTCGTGAAAAAAATTCCAAAAGTTCTGCAAACTTGGGGAAGTTTTCGATATAGTATTTCATATCACGTATAAAATTTGCAACCAACCTAAGTGTACGGAACATTTTTTGTTATTTATTTTATTTTCGATATATCTGTCAAATTTGCAGAACTTTTGGAACGTTTTCCTTCAGTTTAATAAAGAAAAACATTAATTTTTAATAACAAAAAATGTTCCGTACACTTAGGTTGGTTGCAAATTTTATACGTGATATGAAATATTATATCGAAAACTTCCCCAAGTTTGCAGAACTTTTGGAATTTTTTTCACGACCAAAACTTATTTTTAACAATGTTCCGGACCGCAGAGCATGTTGCAAAATTTTATAGTTTGTTTTAATACCACTCCCGACCTTACATCAAAATTTGAAAACTTTTGGAATTATTATGAATTAATTGTCTTGACTGACTGGTCTAAATATAGAAATACATATTAAGTGCTTCTAATTTCACATTTACTGCCAGTTCTCAAATCAAAGGCGTAGAACGGAAGAGAAGAACTGGCAATAAACTCTCCGCCACTCTTTTTGATTGTCAAGTTTTTTGTTGAACACAATGTTTGTAAGGAGTTGCAACCATTACACTATGTTCCACATGACATTTTAAGTAATGAATAATAATTAAATAAGTTAAAAACAAAGGGTTATCCTCTATCAGCAGGAGGCCTGGTGAAATAGGAGCATACACATTCTCGTGGGATCGACACGCAAACGCTCATTTTCTGTTTTAATTTTAAACTTCATCAAACTCTTTGAGGTTACACACCGTGCAGCTCCTATTGACGTCGAACATAAATAAATACATACATAACATATTAATTGGACTCAAAATGTTTTTATATTTTTTTAAATCTAAGTATAAGATCTTTAGTAAGCTGATTAAATTTTAAAGAATTGTTTAATTTTTCAGATATGGCAACATGAAAGCCGCCAAAGATGGATTAGATATAAAATTGTTTTATTCTACTCCTGACTGTTATCTGAAAGCGGTAAAGGATGCTAAGTAAGTTTTTAATTTATATTTTGTCATCATCATCATCATCAGGTGAAGTCTGATTGGGTAGGTCGTACGTACCTGGCCCAAACCCAGGCCGTACTGGACAAGGAACAGATCAAGCATCCATAACCGACGAAAAATATTTCTATTGATACATTGGTACAAGAAAATAAAATAAAATATTTAAAGTGACAACATTGATATACAAAAAACCCAAGATGCACAGTCTCGAATAAAAGTAACGCTCGAAAGTGTCCCGAAACACTATTTCTGTCTCTTTCTATAAGTTACAAGCATATATTATTGCAAAATCAACCTTACGCGAATTGTTTAAGGTTGTTATTACAACGCAGTGTACTTAAAGCAATAAAATTTTACGACCGACCGTGGTCGGTAGGACAAGGTATTGAGTGGAGTCGAACATGACTTTTTTATTTACAACTATTTAACATAATTTTAAATTTATCCGACGTTTCGCGTGCTTTACAGCGTGCGTGGTCACGGTGACTGAAGACAAAAGGTGTTGGATGTTAAATAGTTGTAAATTTATAATAATACATAACTTTAATCCGGTTAAAAAGATTTTTCTTTAAATTAAAAAAATGTTAAATTGGCTACCTCCTGACCTACACTTTATATAGCGTAAATATATTTGTTAAAAACTACACACAAAAAAAGTTCAAAATTACATAAATTTATTTAAAAAAAAACACAAATAAATAACATCGACTCCACTTATAGAACAGGGTCATTTTTATAATGCGACTAAAATAAAAAGAAGACTGTAATGCGTTGTTCTAACACTGAACAAGCAGCCATTGAAGTTGGCCGTATAGAAGTTTGTGCGTTGAATGAAGTTTTTAGAAAAAATAAATAAAAATCACACATTGCTTGTTATAATCAGTCATAAAAACAACAAAAACTAATCAATAAAGTTTTTTACTTACCGAAAATACGATATCCCAACCTTTTTTAGCCTTCTTGACGTAATATTTTTACAATTTCTCACAGAACACTTTGAAATTTTTGACAACTGCTCCCAGACGCGAGCGACGCGAGACTATTTGAAATGAGCGCACAATTTAGAATGTTGCGCTCATTTTTTGAGGACGTTTTTTAGACGTTGATTGTGCATCTTGGGTTTTTTGTATATCAATGAGGGACAAGCACTTATAGGCATACACGAAGAGATAAAAAAACTAAAGGAAAATAGATTTCAAAGTGAGAGGGGAGCAACTATAGATATTCAGACCTAGCTCGTTTATCAGAATGCTCGCAAAATATGGACCCGAAGTCTAAGCTTAGCGTTAAGTGTCTTAACCATGTCAAAACAATGTTTTTGACACACGGGAGTCCTACTTAGCCACATAGGTTAGGCTCTACCCATTGCGAACAATCGGCTTCTACTTTAAGCCATTTAGCAAAGATTTCAATACGATACAAGCCCAACATTGTTGTTGTTTCACTTCCCTGTTTTATTAAGTCAGTCGGTAGCTGAGTAACAATAGGGGGGCAGGGCTGGTAAAATGCCACGGGCCCCCGACCCAAGAGGGCCCCTGCTCAAGAGATATTATGTTCTATGGATGAATGTGAAGTCTCCAATACGCATTGGGTTAGCGTGGGGACAACAGACCACTCCCTCTCGCCTAAGAGAGGAGGCCTATGGCCATTAGTGGGACATATACAACGTGTATTTAAGTACGCTGAAAATCTCGAAGTATATTCAAATTTAACTGAGTACAACGTGACAATTATTACTGATAGGGCTCCATCAAAAGAATTTGCCACGGGCCCCAGATGGTATAGTTACGCCACTGGTAGCACCGTTCTTCATATTTAATTAATTTAGAGATTTTCAGGACGTCTTTCAGTGTGGCATTACAACATAATATTAGAAAAACACCTTTTCGACCGAAATTTTCCACAGTCCGTTTCACAAGGAATTTTCTTTGCGAACTAGCGAACTGTGGAATCGACTACCGGTGGGGGTCTTCCCTGAGAGATACGACCTCTAACTATTCAAAATTCGAGTGTACCCCCTCAAAAGCTGGCAAAGCACCCACTAAAAATGGGTGTCTATGGGCTGCGATGCGATAGGCGTCCTGCAGGCTCGTTTGTCCCCCTATTATATAAAAAAAAATATTAAAATACGTGTATTTGTTGACAGCGCGACATTCCCAATAAAGCAGGATGACTTCTTCCCATATGCGAGTGACTCCACTGCTTATTGGACTGGTTATTTCACGTCAAGACCAACAACCAAATACTTTGAGAGACTTGGGAATAACTATTTACAGGTAAAAGTGCACAACAACCTATTTTTTTATATTGACTTGTTGAAGGATCGTGATGTAGGGTTATATTTTCTTTCTTTTACATTAGTAACTTCTTTAAACTCGAATTTGTGACTATTAAGAGATATGAATCACCTTTTTACCAATCGTGGTCAGTGAGATTATAATGGGAATCACCATTTAAATGCTGGAATAAAAATAAACTGGAAATAGAGTTTAGTAATTATAGACATTATTTTAAAATATCCGCCTTTTTCACTTTTTCCTAAACGCAAGCGGTTTTACAATTCATATTAAGTTAATTTTGGAATTTCCCTGTCAATTACGCAGTGTTGTTTTAATAGTGAAGTGTAGCGCAGGAGTGGCTTCAGCGTGACTCAACTCTGCGGTCGTAGGGTCGAATCCCGTACAACCAATAGACTTTCCCATTGAACACCCGTGAGCAATCCGGCATTCCTTAGACCCAAATAATCGACGGCGTGTCAGACACACAGATTATCTGCTTATTATAAATAAATGTTTACGAAACAGATATAAAACCTGAGGGTTTTGTTTAATGAAAGGCGGGAATATATATTTTTTTTAATCTTTCAGGTGTTGAAACAACTTCAAGTATTGGCTAACTTGGAGGAACACAACGTATTTGTTTTGGACGAACTTCGTAGTGCTATGGGTAAGTTGATATGAAGTTTTTAATGTTGAAAATCTCTATTGGTGTAAAAATATTCCTTATTAAAATAGGTCTTGTGATCAAGCAAGAATTACTAATCATGATTCAAATTATATTTATCAGAATACTTAATATTTTATTATAATTGAAATTATATAGATTTTTTCCCAACATCTTCTCATATATATATTAAACGGAAGAATATAATCCATTCCCAATAGGAATAAGTAAATATTTTAGAATCTATTAAGCAAGAAATTTATCTGCTCCACACTTTGAGGTAACCAAACTTCGTATATTCGTCCCTTGTTGATATTCTGACAGCATGACTTGTTTTGGTTCTTGATCCCTTATTTATAGAGAAAACTTTTTTTTTTTTATAGAACAGGGGGCAAACGGGCTCACCTGATGTTAAGTGATACCGCCGCCCATGGACACTCTCAATACCAGAGGGCTCGCGAGTGCGTTGCCGGCCTTTCAAGAATTGGTACGCTCTTTTCTTGAAGGACCCTAAGTCAGTAAGAAATACTTCAGTGGGCAGCTGGTTCCACAAAGTGGTGGTGCGCGGCATAAACTGCCTTGAAAACCGCTCCATATGTAATAACTGTGTATACGTCGGGGTTGTCTAGAAGAAACTGCTTTTGTCAGTAACCACATTTATTTACCTGTTTTGATAAGTTTTTATGTATATTTATCCGACATCTGGACGAAACAAACAGTCATTTGCTAATCACTTTATCTTGTAACGTTGTTTTGGTACTCCCATGACGTATTCCAAAAATGCAGGTGTAATGCAGCATCACGACGCAGTGACTGGTACTGAAAAGGAACACGTAGCTCATGATTACGAGAGGATATTGGACTCGGCCATTCGGGACGCCAGTCTTATTGCCAACCAGGCCTTCAAGTAAGTATTTGAACAGTTGAACAGGGATCAGTCACTAAGATATGTGTCTACCTCATTCATTTCAGACTACCTGTGTTCTGCGGTTTCTAGCACGTAGAGGTTTTTTTATAGAACAGTGGGCAAACGGGCAGGAGGATCACCTTATCTTAAGTTATACCGCCGCCCATGGACACTCTCAATAACAGAGGGCTCGCCAACGCATTGCCGTGTAATGTTATATTATAGGCTTACTTATTAATTGGACTATCGAAAAGTAATGAGATCGACCTAGGTATTTTTCCCGTTTTTGCAACATTGGTAGCTCATTTTTAATTTAGGTAATATCAATGGCCTATAATATTAGGAAAAATGTTCCTTTGAAGTGGTACCTGTATGAGATTGCTTTATAGCGATGACGCCCGCGTGCTACATATTTTATGTTTTCTTGTTTCTAAGTTTCTGAATGATTATTGTATGTGCAAATAAGTGTACATGGTATTAAATTGTATCAGACGCAATAAAAAGCCATTACAATAGCTTTTAAAAATAATTTTATATGAAATAAAATTAATAAGAGAAGTTCTCTTATTCTCTCTCTGTGAAGACACAAACGTCAACTGATTTACGAATCACGTGAGCCACGCACCGAACGCCGTCCCAGTGATACCTAAAAATCGCTTCTGCGCAGGCAAGACATTTTTTGTTCAAGATGTTTGCCGGTATCTGTGTAAGGTGGATAGCGATTTGTGAACTGTGTCTACAGGACTCAATGTTTACAAATCTAAAACATTATAATTCGATTTTAGCAAAATATTGAACCCCAACGAGTCCCTACCTGCGTTTTCTTACAAGAGATGTCGCTTCAATGAATCCAGCTGCCCTATCTCCGAAAATAGCGAGCAATTTATTGTAAGTTTTTAATTATTGCTTTAATCTGTATTAGGGCGGTGTGTCAGGCACAGAAAGCTGATCACCTATTAGACAGACTAATGGTCACGAATCTGAGGCCCACTCCGACTTTGAAGTGGAATTGGTATCTTATATATATATCTTCTCTATATCTTTCCAAATTGGTATGGCTCAAATCTGTATTTGGGATGACATAAAACACACACATGTGTTTATTTTGCTGATATGTTTTTCCAAGAATATTTGTACTATTTAATGACAAAAAGTTTTCAACATAAATGTTTTTTTTGTGTATCAAATATATTTCAACCATTACTTAAAGATCTATTTCACGATATTTACCTACATCTTCTGACTAAAAAAATCTAATAACATTGTGTCAAACAGTCAACACAGCTAGTTTATCATGCACTGTTATTCGAGTGTGAAGATCCGGGATCGACCCCGTGTAATACAAAATTTTAGAACGTAAATAAAATAATAATTTAGAAGAAAAATATCGCAAACGACGTCGAATTCTTTTAAATATTTTTTTTATAATTTTCCGAACCAACATTATATGTCAGAGGTTTCGATTCTAGGACAGAATTGAAAACTTGATCGGGGTCTAGAGCAAAGAAGATCATAATACAGCACACGTTGTTAACATGTGTATTTTTGCAGGTGACAATGTACAACCCTCTAGGATGGGATGTGAAACAGCCCATCCGTGTGCCGGTAACAGAGGGAACATATTCTGTATTTGCTCCGAATGGTAAGCAAATTTAATGCCTTCAATATTTTTGATTGAAATATAGATTCATTTTTAGTTAATTTAGATCTAAATAAAAAAGTAATAAAAACATATTTTTATCGGTTTCTCTTAAAATGCTATATTTAAAACCAATATTTACAATTCGTATCTCAAGTTAAAGCATTATACAATTTTGAAGTACATAGTTAACTTGTACATATAGACGATGTTAATATTGTTAATAACATAAAACATTACAGGAGACGAAATTACATCACAACTGATAAAAATACCAGATCCAGTAAAAAACATACCGACGAGAAAATCAAAAGCCACACACGAAATTGTATTTATGGCGTACCTTCATCCACTCGGAATAAAATCATTCTTTATAAGAAAAAATAAAAAGGACAAAAGAGAAACAAAAAGAGCAAAAGACTTCTACCTCAACGTCAACGATTATTTCAAAAACCTAAAAGATAACATCGACATTGTCATTAAAAGTGAAGACAACTTAAAAAATTATAATGACTTGGCAAATAATTACCAAAGTGGTAATCATTTTGCAAGTTTTAATACAAATGATGGAAGATACGATGAAAAAATAATTAAAAATCCACAAGAGCTCGAAACGATTGATTGGAATGTTTTAAAAGATAAAGATAGCTCAAAAGAGTATTTTGATGAAATCGAGAAATTACGAGTGGGAGTGGAAAGAGTTTTGGAGAAGAGTGGGTATCCCTTTGCTAACGAAGAAGAGTTGAGGATGCTATCTGATGAACCGAGGATTGTGGAGAGGGAAGCCGAAAGTTATATAGAAAATGAGGTAAAAATCATGAAACTTAATCAATATTAAAATCGATCGATGCTATTTGAAAATCATAGTAAGATGTCAAACCTAAATTTTATATTAAAAACAGAAAACAATTACCACCTGTGGCAATATTAATTTAAAAAAATGTCTTTTTGTCAGGCACAAACAACATAGGTTATACTTAAATATTGAAACTAATATTTAAAATCTCTGCTTCAAATGTATTCCAGATTAATTCCAGAGTCCTTTGTGTAAAATATCGCTTAGAAATAGCATATTTGATTGTGAAATAATATTTTCAATGTGAAAGAAAGATGTTCGGCAGTAAAATATTCTTTTTTTATTTTCAGCACTTCAAACTGCGTCTGGACAGTTCCGGTCAAATCACTCATTTAATCCTCCCAGACAGAACATTTAACATGAAAATACAATTCTATTATTGGACTGGTTGTATCGGAAATAACACCAAACCCTCTGAAAGATCCTCTGGCGCTTACATTTTCAGACCAGAAACCACTCAACCAAAATCCATGTCCTTCAAAACGACGGCAAAACACCAAGGGCCCGTTGTTCAAGAATTGTGGATTGAAGGGGATAAGAATTTAGCTGCGAGTGTCCGAATTTATCACGAAAAGCAATATTTCGAAGTCGATTATGTTATCGGACCAATTGATATTACCGATAATACCGGTAAAGAATACATTGTTCGATACGAAAGTGATTTGGTCAATAACGGTATTTTTTACACTGATTCAAATGGACGGCAAACTTTGAAACGCAGGTTGAATGAAAGGCCCCAGTGGAATTTAACTTTGGAAGAACCCATCGCGGGTAATTACTATCCGGTAACAAATGAGATTTTCATAGAAGACAAAGATACGAGAATGACAATTTTAACCGATCGTTCTCAAGGTGGTACTTCGTTGGAGGAAGGACAAATTGAGTTGATGTTACATAGACGATTGCTTCACGATGATGCGTTTGGTGTTGGCGAAGCCCTAAATGAAACAGCTAACGGTGTGGGCTTAGTTGTCCGTGGGAAACAACGCGTTTTATTCCGAAATGCAGGTGAAAATTATAATACAACTAAAGAAATTCTTGCAATGCATTTAGAGCCAATAGTTTTGGTGGCAGACGCGAAAGATCTGACCTATGACCAATGGATGACGCTCAAACGTCTTACCGGTTTAAAAACCGAGTTGCCAACCGGTTTGCATTTGTTGACATTAGAGCCGTGGTCGAAATCTAAATTGTTGATACGATTCGAGAATTATTTGGAGAAATCGGATACTTCCACTGTAGAAATTGATCTATCGAATTTATTTAAGAATTTAAATATTAAAAGTTTTGAAGAAACGACGCTGGCTGCCAATCAGAGGGTAGATAAAGAGAAATGGTCTTGGAATAAAGAGAGGGTATTTGTGGAAAGTTTCAATAACAATTATGGTAATTTTGGTGAAATCAAAATGGCGAAGGAAAATGAGATGGTTTCGGATAACGGATTTGTTATTAAACTTAAAGCTAAAGAGATAAGGACATTCATTGTTGATTACGAGTATTTAGATGAATAAATAATATTAGATTTTTAGTTTCCCCTAAGAATATCCCTGATATATTTGCCTTTGTGTTATGGATTTTTGCGGTCAAACATTTATTTGAAAAAACGTAAATTGTTAAGGAAATTTAAATAAAAAATAAGATTCCAAACTGCATATTTTTATTATTACCTGTTTTAGCCGAAATACAATCACAGATAGATTTAAAGCTTGTTTCATTACAGACTTTTATAAAATGAGATGATTTAAAAATGGAGACAGTCTACATAAATTTAAGAATTAAAATGTTTGTATTAATTTTTAGTATAGAAAAATAATGTAAAAATCAGACTATAATAAAGAAATTTTATAAAATTCTGCAATGACAATTTTAACATATTTCATCATAGACAGAAATATTACAGCTGTATGTTTCCAACCAAAATATATTTATTTCTAGATGAACACTTTGGATTTTGAATCACAATTTAGACATGTTTTAATAAGTTTGTATATAGTTGTATAAAGTTAAGGCTGTTTATCATGACTTACAAATCTTAGCCTACAATAAGCGTTTTTTTGTGTTTTTTTATTTTTGTTCTACTACAAAAGTTAATAATTACATTATTAAAACTATGTAGCTACAAGAATATAAAAATATTTATATAAGTTTATAAAGAGAAATTAAGGTTCTTAAAAGGCAAAAGTTAATTTAACATAAACATAATTTCTAATCTAAGTAATGCATATGTTACAGCTACACAAGCTTAACTTCATTAATATAAAATCTTGAATTCTAAAATTTAATTAATGACATGTACCAGACATAACAGATCAGAAAATGTATATATTTTCTCTTTTGAGAAAAATGCTCCATAAAATGTAAATTTTCCTTATTTTCTATAGTTTTGTAAAATTTGTATAAAAATCAGTCTTTCAGAGTAATTTGAGTGTGAGATCAAATTTTGTAACAATTTAACACAAGTAACATCTTAAAGCTAAATTAATCTAAAGTTACAAATGCTGCTGATACATCACAAACATATTTATGAACTTACATTTAAAAATATTATACACTACTAAATGCGTTTTCATACACATTTTAGTTAGGCATATTTTTTTTCCTATTTTATTTTTGAAAGTTTATATAAAAATATTTTTGATCATAAAATTAGATTAAAACCTAAAAAAAACACATTACCTAATAATGTTAAACCCTGTATTTGAGTCTTGATTTGTTTTGTATAAAAAATTGGCTAATTTTTTTATAGGAACACTTAATATGGCAACAATCGGGCAGTATTTTAACAGTAGAATATAAAGTATTTTATCAGAAGCACCTTTTTGGTAAATATCAACAAATGGTAGATTATGTAGTTTGGAAAAAAATAAAAATATTTATCATGGATTAGTCATGTGCATAGAAACAAAAAATGAAAGAAATAGTCACAAAAGAAAGATCTGAAAGATACTACAGATGTTAATATTGTCAATCATTATTACATGCAATCTTATTAATTTTACAATTAAAACTAATAACAATTATATTTGCAGAAATTTTGTGATTATATTCCAATAACAAAAAGAACAATAACTTTGACAACTTATCAAAAGGACCAAACATAACATTTCTTTTAATAAGTTGTACAAATATTTTTAAAATATATTAAAATACAGAACTTTCGGCAACCTTTTTAATATTTGGTGCTTAATTAATTGCAAAATGTTTGAGAGCACCAAAAATAATTAATTTCCATCAAACAGATGGTAATCTAGTGTATTGGTATCCATTGCTGACAGAAATAGTGTTTAGTTTTATTATTAAAACATAAATGTGGTTTAGGTAAGTGGTCAAATTTTCTTATTCATAAAATCTTAACAAATAATAAGTTTGTTTAATCACTAACCACCAATATTTTTTCTCACAAATGTCAATATTAATCAATTATTTCATGTAATTTCTCTTTACGTTCCACATGTTCAGGATCAGAACAATGAGCCATCAAGACTGATTCACCCATAATCAGATTCTCAAAGCACAATGAACAAGCATACAGTGCATCACCAAAACAGACAATTTTATTATCATCTCTGTACATTTTCATTGGATTCAATACTGTACTAGGCTGTATTTCTTTCCCAGCTGCCACGCACTTCTTAATATAAGCTGTTTTGTAAAGAAAATGTATTTTTTCACAGTGTGACTGACTCAAAATATGTTTCAAAAGATCATTTTCATCTGCATTGTTAGTTTTACATGAAGGACAATAGAATAGCACCATATTTTTTGTTTCAAAATTAGACTCACAATGTAATTGAATGCTATGCACTTGTATATAGAATGTTATGCGTTCAATGGTAGCTTTTTGAAGAAACATACTATGCAAGGAGTCTTGGAAGCTGTTATAACTCAAAACCTGGTCTAGAGATTCAGAATAAGCTGTTAACTTTGATGTATCAAGAGTAAAGTTGCCAATTGAAGATGAAATTGAAGTTGAGTGCTCTGGAGACTTAATTGTTAATCCAGAATCAGTTTGGGAGCTATGACATTTGCAAAGACACTTAGAGTCATCAAAACTGCTTTCTAAACTTTCTTCAAATGAAAATAAATTTATCATGGCATCTCTTAGATCTGGGAAATCATAATATTTTTGCTTCTTTTTAGGGTTAATGCGCATTTGAGGTTCCCTTTTTTTAATCATATATTTATTTTCTCTATTATTATGTAAATAACTATTGATAAAGTTGTCTATAGAAGATTTAATAGAAAGCAACTGTTTTTTAACTTTTGTTTTAGCTTGATAATCTTCCTTCTCCATAATTATATTCCAACTCCCTGATGGATCAATGTTTTTCAAATCCAAATTGTTCAACATAATGTCTCCAACCTTTTTAGGTATGTTGGATAAATCTGTTCCAGGAAGAGCTGTTACTACAGACTTGGACTGAAAAATTTTAGACACTTCAATATGAAACTGGAACTCATTAAACATTTTTTTTAAGAAGCAATCAAGTTTCTCTAACCGCATTTGATAATTCAGTAGAAGCTCCATACGTTGCTCTTCATTTTTATCAAACTCAACATCTGCAAATGATTCAGGTGAAGTTGATGGTACAGGTCTACTCTCATCACTTGAAGGGAGTTCTAAGCACATTTTCCTGCACATTCTAACTGGCGATTTTGAATTACTATTAGAATGATCCGACATAAGTTCCTCCTCTTCAATGGAAGAATCAATGTCAGAAATATCATTGATGTCAAATGATTTATTAAAATCAAAACCCTTAAACCTTTCACTGAATGTTTCTGATGTTAGGCTTTCCAATAGAACATGTTTTGGTGTGTTTTCTACGTTGAAATCAAGCTGGTTCATAGATTGGCTGGCTTTTTTTATATCTAACTTAAGTTTTTTGCATTTACGGCGTCTGTGACGAAGTGGTGCATCAGATAAAGTAAGGATATCCGTATCGGACAAGGACGTTTTTTTTGAAGTAAACTTTTTCACAGATTCCGGCAATTCTAAGCTTGTATACTGCATTGAAGTTGAATCACCTTCTAAATGTTCAAAACTTGATTTTTCCAACACGTACGTGTTACGACGTTTCTTTTTATATGCATCTTCGCGTTCTCCTGGCTTTTTAAAGTATGATATGTTTGAAATAATATTTCTTATTGAGAACGCCATAGTAGAAATCGAAATCGCAGATGCCGAGCCTGTTAAGACTTTAATGTTAACAGCAAATATTTATTTTTCACATATATTACTTTAATTACTGTTGAATTCGTTAAATTTGTATATATTGGAGATGTCGGAGTGTCTGAACTTTGTCCTGTATAAGTAGATCAATTTATTCACGATATTAAAGCATTTTTTTTACCTACCCCCAGACTCCATTCTCGATCCACAAGAAAAATACAAAAAATAATATTTTCATTGTTCTGAATTGTTGACAGTTTTAATAGAAGCACAGAGTAGGTGTAAGAAGAAAAGTTGACAAACAGATCGGGTCGTCACAGCCCTACAATACCATGACATAGACAAGTCACATGACTAGTAGAATAGTGAATAGTCATCTGTGAGTCAATAGTCAATAGTCAATACCAATAACTCAATAATTGACTTTGATAATGATAACTTAAAAATTTGTATTTACTATTTACAAATTAAAAATTATGCCATTACTATGTAGACGTATTTAGATTCAAAAATAAATTTACTAATTACCTTTAAATAGTTAATAAATGTGATCTTATCTCAGTGTAAATGATATTAGTGTTGTTTGTAAAGTAATCTATATTCTAACCTATTTGTCTATAGTTACATTTATGAAGATATTCTCTCGAAGCGTGTTATTTGTCCATCAATAATCAGCGTCAATTTTATTGACTACAATATCTATAGCTAAAAAAGCAGTCTCAAGGTATACCTTAACATAATTTCTAACATTATATTTTTAGTTTGTAGCAAGAACGATATTTCCATTAATAATAAATTTCTTTGCAGTTACAGAAAATATGAAACCTTCTATTGATATAGACTCACTTCGCAGTGAGCATGAATCAGACGAACAATGGCAGGTACGTCGTAGCTTTATGCTGGAACACAAGGACAATTTTGATGAGGATGAATTGGTGACTCTGGCACAATTGTATACAAATATTGAGTTCCTAGGGTGCAGGTGTGTGATTTGATATTTTGACATATCCATATAACTATTTTGGAACCTTAAAGAAAAATTTGCAATCCTTTGTGTAGATTAGTCCTGGTAACAAAAAGCAGATAAAGACTGATCTTTAAACTTAATAAAGATATCTTTCAATATCAATGTAGATCAATGGATTTGCATCCACACCACTTAATATAATTATTATTCATTCCTGTAGAATTATTATCTTTGCATGTTGTAGATACCCAGTAGAAACAATGAAGCGAATTGCCAAATTAGCAGAGAAAGTATCAGCTAAGTACAAGGAGAGTAGGAAAAACAAACTCAAACGGACCTTTGTGGAAGCTAGTGATGCAGCAGAACAAAAGGCCAAACGGACTTTTAAACAATAAATTTAATAGTAGAATAAGAGTTATTCTAGACTGTCTGTAAAATTACGATTTTTTTCTCTAGACTTTATTTGAAATTTTTTTTGTCCCTATGTTCTAAAATTATGATTATGATAAAATCTTTTTAACTGTAATAAACGCAGAAATGTTATGTTTTACGGGACATTAAGGTCCTGATCTGAGAGGATGGATCTCCCGAAATGCAGTATTGATATTTGCTAAACTCTAAAATTAATAAGACTTGATCCAGTATTTCGTAAAGAAATACCCTCGAACACTTGCCATGATAATAGCAAGACTAGTACATGTCTGTGTACTATTATCATGCCAAGGAGATAACCTTTAATATTGGCTTACGCACTTTGTTTGGCCCTCTATTTAATGAAAACAAAAACTAATTTATTTTTCAAGCTCCATTTGCAGAAGTACTGTGACTGAGTGTACATAGATTTAAAAGACAAAAATAAGGAAAGAACAAAATGCAACATCATGAACTCTTTATTTGATTAATTTATACAAAAACTTAATGTTAAGACAATTCTATAGTTAAGTTTTTGATACCTCTGTAAAGAGTCGAGAGATACATCAGCAAATAAATTATTCTTATTAATTATCTACTTTGTATTTATTACAAGCTATTAAAGTTTTTTAAATTAATGAATGGTCCTAAAACAAACTTACAATCAACTGATAAAGGAACATGAATATATTATTGATAAATGCAACATTCTGGTTGTACAATCCTAACTCCAATCTATCTTATTATTAATAAGCTGGTGTTGATTCTAAAGCAGATCTTAACACTAAAATTTTCCAAAATTAGCTAATAATTTTTAGTAAGGTCACCGGGGCGAAAGCAACTAAAAATTTATAAATTGGTACTTTGTCGTCCTCTACCATTAGCTACCTAATTATGATGGTTGTTTAAATGAACTTACTTTATTCCATGCCTTTCATTGAATAGTTCCGACATAAAGTACGTGAAAAATAGGCTTAAGTTATTGAATAATTTACATTCTTGTTGAATAAGAGCACTAAAAGTTACATTTACCCCACCTTGAGGCTAATGCAACTATCAGTTAAATGACCTTGTTGTAATCGTAATCTATACGTTTGGAATAAGGGTATATATAGTTTCACACTACAGGTATCTGAAATTGGTATCTAGGTGCTGGGAATAAGGCTCAGTTTCCAGAAAAATTAATTTAAACTTTTTATGGGGCGAATGCGACTGCCTCCCATACTTGCTAGTGTTGGACAGATACGTACTACTAAATTTATCGATAAATCTTCGTGAAAAAAAATTCGATGAAAGGACCGAAAAATTATTAGTCTGCTTTAAGGTAAAGAATTAAAATGCGATTCATTAAAAAATAAATCTTCATAGTAAAAGGTTTTAACATTTCTTATAATCAAATAAACATCTAAGGACAGTAAGTATAATAGATAACATGAAAGTAAGTACAAAAACGCAGTCTTGCTAAAGTTATTTTTTGGGAATTAACATCAACATTTTTGCTTAATGTCTAGCTGACTTAATAATATTGGCATTTAATAATGCCACATTATGTGAGTAATCATTAAACCTAGGATAATATTGATCAGTCCAGTAATTCTTACTGCCAATTTCTGAATTGAGAGATTCACTGGGCAGATGCGTAAGTATCGTTCTGTCTCTGCAGATTAACAAAATCGTAACTTTATGTAAAGGCTTTCATAGTTTTATAGTTTGAATGTATTTTGTGCACGCCTAATCTGCCTTTCAATAACACGTATTATTAAGTTTTCTATGTAAATAAATTCAATTAAATTATTAACAAAAACAATATATAAGTTTAAAAAAATACGTCACAGATACCAAGGTAAATATTTTATGCAAATAGATAGTGAACTTCACTTGTTGAAATATCGACACGGAACTTCACTAGTGATTTGATTTTTTCATACAAATACAATGGGGCTATTGCAACTGCAAAAATAGTTGCAATTACCCATCTGCACAAAAATTTGAGGTTAATGTAACTATGTCAATAAAATGTTAATTAAAAGACTTAGCCTTTAACCAAATATACCAAAAGCACTTACGTTTTATCTTTATATTAGGATGAACCTTCAATTTGGCTGGAAATAACGTGAAATATTTTTTATGGCACAAAACTAAACAGACGGCGCCGCAAAACTTTGCTCCAAAATGGCGGTAGTCAAAAAATGCTCTGTCAGTACAACAGTTAGCGACTTAAAAGCTCCATCTAGACTTTATAAAAAAAAGTAATAATTGCTCTACTCTTCAACAGATGGCACGTTTTACAAAAATCATTAAATTGTGAATAAAATCAATTAGTCACTTTAGCCCCATAGTTGCTTTCGCCCCGGGTGACCTTATCTTAAAATATTTTAGTCCGGTCAAAGTTGATTTTTTATTTAGTCATGCCAATTAAGAGTTTTTTAATAAAAAAAAGGCACATTTCACAGGATAGGAGTATAAATTGTGCACGTCAAAATCGACACCTTAACAACACTTGAAATACCAACAATATTAATAATTGTGTCATTTTAAACGAAATATAGGTGTATTGTTAACTCAACAATACAGTATAATTTGTGCATTCTGCATTTGATAGCGCCTACGGTAACTTGGAAGTCCCGAGTTCTATTCCCGGGGAAACAATAACATCAGTGAATTAATTTTAGTTTAATCTATCAGAATGTGTGCAATTAGCTGTCTATGATCTTTAAGAAATCATTTTGGTTCATTAGCTTTCGCCTTAATACACACTCATTAATAGTAATTACATATTAAATCTTAAAGAAAAGCAAAATGTGTTATTAATAACTAAAAAATTATCAAATATGGTAATGGTAAATATGAACCAATGTAATCTTTTATAATATTCATATTTAAATAAAAATGTATTCATGTTCTTATTATTACAGTATTAAACTCTCGAATCGGGTCATAAAACCGTCAAACCTGAATATTCGATGTTTATAAAAAATTCGTATTACGTTCGTAAATACTTTATTTTTAATCTTAAAATAACATTGAGTTGATTTGTCAAATTCTTAGTTTGACATGGCAGTGCTGTATTATCTGTGGACCTATACCCAAAACCATTCCTTATAAATAATTATAGAATATACTTAAAAAACTTTGATATAAATCTTTGAATAATATACCAATTCTAAGAGCATCCCAAAATAATACAGTCGGCTATATAGGAACGATACAATTGATAAAAATGTATACCTTTCTCCGTCTCTCTCGTATAACGAAAAATTCCGTTCCTAGGCTAAGATTCTGAGACAAATTTATCACTTGCTCTATGGCTAGTACCCTCATTTTAGAAATGTTTGTTTCACTTATAAAAAGCCACTTTCACGTCATGAAAAAAGATCAGTACTTTAGATAGAACATGTGTAATTAGTGTTTGTATGAATCTTTACTTTGATTGACTTAATACAGACTTTCATTTAAAATAAATATTATCAAAAAAGCTCCGAAGTCACATGAGGAGTAATTTATCTATGAATTTTAGCTTTCCCTCAATACTAACTATCTAATCTATGAGAATCTATGTAATGAGAAATCTATAAATATTTATAAAATTTACTATCCGTTTGATTACCCTGTCATAATGATGCGAATCTTTGACATATTAACATATTAGATTGAAGAAAATCAACATATCTATATCAATAATTGTAAAATCTCCGATACCCTTCACTGAATACAATAACAGTAAGGGTTTTAGTTTAACTTCTAAATATTAAAATATTGCTACTGTAAAATTAAATATAACATGGTTTTGAAACATATTCACATTTCTTTAGTTTCTATTATTAATTTGGTCAGGTTTTCAGTCTCTGGTACGAAGTCCCCATATAGATGTACGTTTCGTACCAATTGTGGGTCGTGCTATTGCGCTGAAAATTAATTAAAAAGTTTAATAATAATATTGTCTTTTATTGACATAACTTTTAGACATAGAAAAAACAGGTTTTTTTTTAACGGATTTGAAGTTATGTTTTATTATAAATTTACAATTATTTTACATAATTCTGTCACCGTGACCACGCACGCTATAAAGCACGCGAAACTTCGGTTAAATTTAAAATTATGTAAAATAATTGTAAATTTATAATAAAACATAACTTCAAATCCGTTAAAAAAGTGTTTTTTCTAAGTTTATTAATGTTCAGATAAACTGAGATCAATAATTATATCCAGTGTTAGATTTTTGAAGTTATACTTCATTTGGCGCGTTAGGGAAAAATGATGAGAGTAAATTTTTACGATGCGCGCGCACACCGTCACAAAAAACCGACACCCTGAAGTTAGCTATAGTCAACATTTTAGTTTTCTATTGTTAGTGTCGTTTTTTCTACAAACGTAGAAAATTTTTTTTGTAAAGGTTTTTATCTTGTTACGCCAAAGTTTAAATTCTAACGCGTGTACATAAGTACACACACGATTTTTTTATTCCTCCTGTAGTTCTAGAAAGAGTTTGACCAAGAAGTAAAAGGAAGTGGCTGCAACCCTTGTACTAAACTTCTAATAGTGATCTAGGCGTTTCTGACTAGGTCGATAAAAATAAAATAAATCAATGGCGCTACCTTTTTAAGTCTGGGCCTCAGATTTCTGTATGTTTCATGATCATTAGTTAATCTAATAGGCAAGTAGGTGATCAGCCTTCTGTGCATCGGCAACATCTAGCACCCGGCCTTGCAGGTGTCCATGAGCGGCGGTTATCACTTTATTTAAAGTGCCTCCTGGCCTATAAAGAAAAAAAATCTTACCTGAACATAAATTTGTTGATTTGTATAGCTGGAAGAGTGGTCTTGAGTACGTTAAGAGATGTCGAGGGCAACATGCCCCATACCTCTAAGTACTGCAGGGACGACATACTGCTCAGCTTACTGGAAATACAATTAAAATGTCTAACGAGTCGAATAAAAATATATTTTGAAGTGAAACTTCTTTAGGCGCATGAGGGTAAAATTTTTACGGAACGTCACGGAGATGTGCAGCGTTTTTGTCGAAGAAAAAGGAGATAGCGATTGAGACAGATTGAGAGAGAGTGAGAAGGGTGAATTACCTTATAGAAATTATATTTTTAAAATTAAAATTTCGTAAAGAGAATTTACGAAATTAGTGTTTTATATTTTATGCAAAATAATTTATTGAAATCTCAAAATTTGAATTGTAAATTAAAAAACCACGTGTTTTTATTATCGAAGAATAAATTTAAAAAATTAAATTCCTAACATATCTTTATTTTTCCCTCCCTTTAAGTCTCGGAAATATAAAGTTTTAGATTTGTATTTATATGAATAAGACTTAAAAATTAGTTTGCCACTTCTGACATATTGTGTACTTTGGACGCACGCACTTTTTAAGCAACATTGCTCGCCTAGTTGTATCAACATGCGAGGTCGTAAGTTCATACCAATACATGACGTAATTATGTATGTATGTGTAATTTAAAAAATATATATATTTACTGTTGACATAAGAGGCCGATCAAGTATTACGTAAGCACTATAGGGGGGAGAGGGGAGGGGTTCTTTGATTTTCTTATTTGGTGATTATGTCAACAGTAATTATTTACTTCTTTACACATATTACCCACACATTGTGTATATATTAGTATTTTTCAGAGCTTTGATTACTTTTTCTGATGGGGGGGAGCAATAAATCTGCTTACTTAATACTCGTACGACCCCATGCCTTAGTCTCAAAAAGTCGACACGAGCCACATATTTGCCAATTAGAAATAAATTTCTGGCCTCAAAAGCCACTGCTTTTTTATATTTTTCAAGCAAATACTTACGTGAGCGCATGCGGTGGTAATAAGTAACATCGGCTAAGTGCTAAATGCTCAAGCCTCGACAGCGGAAGAAGTGCGGTCAGCGCGTCCTTTCCCAGTGAAGAACAGTCCGACAGATCCAATTCGAGAAGACGGGGACATCGTGTCACTAAAGCTAATACCACTGAAAAGAGAAGAGAGTATATATCAGGGTTCCAGGCCTGCGATTCTGTAACTCACTTTTCGAACTCACACAGCGGTTTTCGCATCGGCGGTCGCTCTGAAATCAGTCGTGAAGCAGTCATTTTATGATTTGGCATTCTAATAAACAATAAACTACAAGCTCCCACCTTTTCAGAATGCCAAATCATAAAATGACTGCTTCACGACTGATTTCAGAGCGACCGCCGATGCGAAAACCGCTGTGTGAGTTCGAAAAGTGAGTTACAGAATCGCAGGGCTGGTATAAAACTGATAATGAAGGTCTATAGAATAGAACAAAGAGAGGAAGTTTAAAGTAAATTAACTGTAATGTTTTCAAAAAGAAAGCATGCTCCGCAGGCTAACTTCTACTCTTCTAAGGGGCCGTTCAAGTATTACGTAAACCGAAACATAATCCTCGAAAATGCATTTCGTTTTCAAGCATCGACAATGTGTGGGTAATATGTGTAAAAAAGTAAATAATTACTGTTGACGTAATTACCAAATAAGAAATCAAAGAATCAAATTGTACCCTGTAAACTATAATATTAGTTAACTTAACAATAATAACTAATTAAAGTTTCGGCAATACTATCAATAATTCGGTAATACATACTTTCATCGGTCATTTTCCTAGCACCGCTGATATTAAGCCTCAGCAGCTTCTGCGGGAGCGTCTCAACCAGTTCCTGGAGAGTACTCTCTGCTAAATTACACCACGATATGTTCAGCGACTGTAAACTAAAACAATAGTATGATTTATATAAATGTATCTAAAATATCGATTATATAATCTCATTCGGTAATATTCTAATTATGAAATGAAATACATACTTTTATTGGCATACATACTTCTTTAAGAAAATTAAAAAATTAAATTAAAGCATTATTCTCCTAACAAAACAATGCTTTAAAACAATTTTTGAAGTTATACTTCTTTAGGCGCGTTATGAAAAAATTTTCGATGCGCGCGCACCTGAGACACAAAGTTGTCAGTGTGATTATAGCGTGCGCGAGCGAGATGGGAATAAGACAATCTACAAGTAAAAATAAATAGAATATGCGTGAAGTTAGCAGCTATGCTAAGAATTTTGAATGACCATAATGACATTTACCTTTTAAACAAATAAAGGAGTTTTAATTTTTTTTTCAAAGAAATTTAGCAATGCTTTTTCACGAAGATTGTTACTTAGTTAAAAGGTTATGAAACATACCTAGTTATTAAATTGAATGAATAATATAATAAAATAATAATTATTATTAATATTAATTAATAACTGAATAATATACTAAATATTGAATATTATTAAATTATTAACGTTAAATATTTATTATTAATTATTTAATATTTTAAAAAAATAAAGAAAGCCAAAGAAGTATAACTTCTTACGCGCGTACATAAGTACACGCACCCTTTTTTTAATTATTAAAGTACAATGTGTCCCGACCAAGGAGGTTTCAATTCAATTTAAGATCACATTATCTGTGGTAAGCTCGCTGCGCGCGCAACGCGCTGGTTCCGAGCCAATAGACCAATAACAGACTTATAATAAATCATTTGGTTCTTTTATATTGCATTTTATTTAATGTAGCCATGACATTAAATAAAGTATTGTATGCAACTGTATATAATTAGGTATTAAAATACTCGTGTAATCTTATTTTGAAAAAACTACACTCATGTTTTAATACCCTCTATTCTATGACAGTTGCATAAACTACTATTCTATGATTATATATGTGGAATATTATATTGATTGTAATTACATAATTGTATTATAAAATATTATTAATTATATAGCAGCCAAGGCTGTGCAAATAATTTTTTTCCATAAAAACAAGTTATTGTACTAAAAGGTTAACAATTTTTATTTAAATACCGATGTGTAACTGACTTTTTTTTCTACTTTAAATTGTAATGACAAGTATTTTACTCACTTAGTACATCCTTTGAGTATATCTCTAAGACCGTCTTGATCTATTCCTTGAGACATCGCTAAATTTAACGTTTCCATATAATTACATTTACCTGAAATATTATTATACAATAAATAATAAATAAAATTTTACGATAATAAATAAAAAATCAGGGGTGCTTCAACCCTAAATGGGTATTCCCATCAGATTGCATCCATTTTTTTTAAATTCTTTTTATTTCATAGACAAGTTTGTGTCTGATACACGACGATATCCTCACAATGTATACCTTCACCATACGAGAGTTAAATGCGCACATAAAGGCCATCGAACCTACGACCTCAGAATCATACGCACCACTAAACCATCAGTGCTTTTTGATTATACAATATACATAATCAAAAAACATTGAATTACAGCAATTGTGAGACACTCGCGTTAGTAACTCAAATGGTACTTCAATAAGGGTTAAAAAGATATAATATATTATTACCACTCTTTATTTGCTTTTAAACTTTATTTGTGTTTTACTTTTATGATTATTTGGTAGAATTGCAATCTAAACTAAAACTATTTTATGGTTGTAGCTAGGGATGCATCGATACGCCTTTTTGCCGATACGATACCGATGCCAACGCTTATTATATTAAAATTAATTTAAGGTAAAATATATCAAGTTTGGTTAAAGTTTTTAATTTTTATTATAAAATTTAACAGTCAAAAACTTTGAATAAGATTAAAGGTTTAGTAAATAAAATTAAGAATTAAGAGTTATAGTTAAATATAAATAAATAACTTTTAATGATTAAAATTTACATTTATAAGATTTTTGTAATTCTATATTGTATTTAATTTGGTATCGAAAAAATACTACGCGTGATAGTAGTTAAAAGCCAACTAAAGTGTCTAGCGAAATGGAATACGCGGGGACAAAGTTGGTGAGAGGGGCATAGATAGTCCGTGCCTCGTTTGCAACGCCCTTGGTCAATCAACATGCGCGTTTAACTTACTTTTTAAAGCGCGAAATTTGAAAAGTATCGTTGTACCGGAAATTAAAATATAGCCGATACCAAACCCAAAGTATCGCCGATAAATCGGTATTGGTATCAAATCAAAACGCAATTTTGGAGATAATTAACACCCCCCCCCCCATGTTACTCGCCGTAAGGTTTTTCAGTACCCAAGTTTAGTACTGTACCCAAATATAGTAAAACGTTCCGTGACCACCTTGTGACTATTTACGTAATTTAATCCCCGCCCCGCATCGTTTTACAAAAGGAAACCCCCCCAAATTCGTTACGTAATACTTGAACGCTCCCATTATAGTGCTTTACGACTTTGTTCCCCGGGTCAAGCAACAGCAAACATGACAGCAGAATGGTATAGAAAAAGCTAGTTTTCGCTATTTTTAGCATTTTTTTCTTGTTTGAAATATTTTAAATTTATGCTAGGAAATAATTACTCCAAAATTCCACAATAGTACCATTAAAAAAATACCATTTATACCCCCCCACCGGAGTGGTATCGGTACATATGGTATAATTTTTGATAATTTACACAGGAAGTTCATTTGTAATTCGAACGATGCAATTTTTTGTATGAAATGTAATATTTTTTTGTATGTTTTCACTCACCTATTAAACCCAAGGCCCGTCTACTTAAATTCAAGTTCTCAACACTGAGCTTCCGTAACGCCGGACAGTGTTCCAACAAACATTCGAGTGTACCACAGTCTATTGAACACATGCTTAGATCTAAATACTGAAGTCGGGATGGGGTCACTGTTTCTGGTTGCCATGTGCCGATCTGAAATTTAAGCGTTTTTATTTTTCGCCTTGCAAACCTTTCTATTAATATGAAATTATGATATAATTTTTTGAAGTGATACTTCTTTAGGTAAAATTTTTACGGATGAAACGCAATAATAATAATATTAGCGGCATGAAGATGTGCAGCGATTTTGTCGAAGAAAAGGAAGAGCGATTGAGACCGATTCAGAGAGTGAACGTTTCATGAAGCAAGTAGCCATGGAGCGAGAGGTGGGATTGAGCTATAGTGAGAAAGATAGAGAGAGAGAGTAAGGGAGATCGAGAAAAAATACACACTATTGGTTGATGTATTCGTTTAGTAGTTACATATTAGAACTTCAGATGGAAATTCTGTCGCATAACGTCTTGTGCAGTAAATGCAGATTATTTATTTATATTATCATTAGCACGATACAGAGTGTAAACAGTGTGAATATAGATATACATGATCATCTATTGGGGCTTTTACCTTAGTAATAATTAATTTACAAAGAAGTTTCACTTCTGACATGTACGCTTTGTACGCACGCACTTTTTATTGTACCAGCCAAAGCTGTACATTTTGACATTTATTAGACATGTGAAGACATCATTTACAAGCACGCTACGTCATCGTCGATTCGAATCCTTTGTGTCACGTGACTGACGTAAAAATTGTATATTGAAACAAATGTATTTTTGATGAATTAATGATTATTTACAAGTTATTTTACTACAAATAGCTTAATTTTTTATACTGTTACTAGCAGACTCGGCCAAGCGTTGCTGTGGCTAAGGTTTTTGTTAAATTAGATAGTAGTAAACTATTCAAGGGAAACGGTAGGAGAACCATGCTTATTTGGTGGTTATGCCATTAAATTGTAGCTTATGTGAAACGTTGGTACTTTCAAAACAGCGCCATCTGTTAGAATTGTGACTATCAAATAATAAATAAATATTTTGCAATAGAATAATATTGCAGGTATAAATTAAGATGTAAGCTATCCTATCTTTTAAGTTAGATCAAACTGCACACGGTGTGCAAATTTGATTGAAATCGGTTAAGTAGTTTAGGAGTCCATAGCGGACGAACAACGTGACGCGTAATTTATATATATTAAGATTATTATTTTTTACAATAATATTAAACATTTTCTGGAAGTATTACACGACTAATTTTAAAAATTAATGAAAATACCTCAGAGCTAGAGAGTCTTAATATAACAGGTTTTCGACTTAATATCCTGCCGATGGAGTTCTTAGATAATGTCTTATTTCCTAGGTCCAGTCTTTGCCATAGTGTTTCATCGCACGCCACTCTATACCATCTGAAAAGTTCATTATTATGAGAAAAACTACAATAATAATAAAGATCGCCTCGTCACGATCATACCGTTACATTCACACCATCACACAACACAGCCGAATTATGTATTACTTTGTCAAATGTATTTAATAATTTTTCCTTTCGTTAATGTTTGAAACTTTTTGTATATATGTCACAGTAAAATTGTAAACACCGTTAGATTGTAATCTATCTCGCGAGATTATAAACTGTCGAAAGATTGTGAACCTCAACGTACTGCTTACAATTTAACGTATTATTATTCGGTAGATTGTTATCTATCGAAGTGATACCGTCAAATTACAATCTTAAAATTGTCAAATTGTAGTAATTGCAGTACGTTGAGGTTCACAATCTCGCGAGATAGATTACAATCTAACGGTGTTAGCTGTTTGTTAGCTGTAGGATTACGAAATAAATAAATATTGCATTTTACATGTTTTATGCTGCATTTGCTATCTTTGTGAGAGGCTGCTATAATAGGACTATAGAAGTCCTGTGTTAACAGATTACCAACCTTTCATCGGGGATAGAAAAAAAAGACCACATTCTAAGACTGAACTTAATAAAATAGTTTTCATTTGATATATATATATATTATATATAGTACTTGTATATGTTATGTACTTAGTATCCTAGTAGTAATAGCAGTACCTTCTTTTATTTTTCCTAAAAAAAAAATTTGCTTTTACGACTTCGTTCCCAGGGGCAAGAGATATAATTATTTTTGAAGTTATACTTCATTAGGCGCGTTATGAAAAATTGATGATAGTGAAATTGTACGATGCGCGCGCACCGTGACACAAAATTAACAGAATGAAGTTGCCCACGGAAGATGCTACGGCATTGGACATAATTTAAAAACAACATTCGAATAATAATAGAATTTATGTTACACTTAATGTAAGAGAATAATAATAAATATTTATTTAATTTTACAAATGTAAACTGAACTTTATTGACTATAATGACTTCTTTTCCAGTCTTTGATTATTTAATTGTAATTAATAATTTGCATGCAATCAAAAACTATTTTTAATATTGCCAAAGAAGTATAACTTCTTACGCGCGTAAGTACACACACCCTTTTTTAACTGTTCATACATCAAATAATTTTAGATCTCTTTTTTTTATATTGATGTATGTTTGTTTCTTCTTAATAAACTACACCTCGAGCTATGTAATTTTCATATTTATTTAAATCATGTAATATGTAATGTAATATGCTTACCGTTTGCAAACCATCATACAGTGAGCGAGTGTCCTTTTGGGAAGCCATTTAAATACACTTAGTATGACTTCATCTGATAACGAACGAAAGGAATCTTCTCCTTGTGGCTCCTCTCGTGATCGACGGGATAATATCGCTTCTTCTTCTACACCTATTACTAAAATAACAGAGAAATATTCGCAATTCACACGTCAAAAGTTCATGAAGATTAAATAAAATATTAACTGAATATAAAATTATAATAAGTTACTCTCTTATTTATTTCAGCTTCAATTAGTTAAAAGATTACAAATTTAAACACAATTTTTAACAAAAAAAAAACATTTTTGTATGTCTGGGCCTCAAATCTCTGTATCCGTTTCGTAATAATTTATTTTTCTTAATAGAAAAGTAGATGACCAGCTGTGCCTGACACACGCCGTCGTTCTTCCTCACAATGTTTTCCTTCGCGTACGAGCGAGTATTTAATGACGCACAAAGACCGAAAGACCATTGGAGCCGGGGACCGAACCTACGACCTCACGGATGAAACTTAACAAAAACTAGAACATATTCTGTCACTCACATGTAGTGTTAAGCTTTCGTCCTCCAGTACTGGTGACACTGTATGCCCCTTTAGTATAACAGTCTGCCCCTATTTGATTTAATGGGGTCTCCTCTTCAATGAGATATTCATCTGTGAATGATGTTTCTAGGATCTCTTGGAGAGGAGCTAAAAAAAAGATTGGATATTCGTTCATAAAATATGAAAGGAGTTTTATAAGTTCAACACGCGTTTTATACACCGAGCAGTGTTCCAGATGGTATAAAGTGCATTTTAAATATAAAGACATGATATGTGAACAGTATATATGGTAGTGAATGGGTGTGGCAGAGATAAGAGTAATGCAGTGGAAATGAGAGTGGTAAGAAGAATGTGTGGTGTAAATTTATAAATAATAGTTAGTAACAGTGTGGGTTAAAAGAAGACGTAACGACAAGAATAGGAAAGGAATGGTTAGGTGATAAGCGGTTAAAAAATAGGATATACAAGGCAATCGTGTTAAGAAAGTTGGTTTGGGAAGGCCTTGTCAGACATACCTGGACCAACTCCAGGAGGTACTAGAGAAGGGACAAGCTACATGTTTAAAGTATTTATAACTGATGAGCATGCATGGTCAATGCCATGAGAGTGTATGAAGCGAGACAGGCATAGGTATGTCAGGACCGAGGCAGGTGGAGATCCGTGGGTTCTACTTACTTCTTCAGGAAAAAGGAGTAATGATATAAATAACAATGTATCAATCACAGTATGGTGTGACAAAATGATTTTTTAGCTACACATTGTAACCGGCCTGATGATTTATTTACAACTGCCCTTTATTTCTAAGGAAATCAATGCTGTCAAACTCTACATAAGCAAATTGCAAGTGAAAGTGGATAAAAGTGGATAGATCACAATTATGAATGATTATTTCATTACTTCTGTCTGTGTTCTTTCTTAGATTAGTTATAGTACCCAACATTCATATATAAGAAATGACAATAGTGTTGAGGAATCTTCATTCGCACTTTAAATCCATTTAGTTATGAGCAATAATAGTGAATAGCCAATGATTACCATATATAATTGTTATTATTTAAATAAAACTTCTTTAACGGAAACAGACTTTATATATTTGTTGTCACCAATCATTTTTATAATATAGTAATAAATTTGTGTGTCTGTTAACGAAGTTTTAATTAAATGTTAATTAATGTTTGTCAACCCACATATACATTTTAAAATTATATAAAAATTTATTGTGCGTGTCATTTGACATAACATAGACCTCTACATTATTTTTATCTACGAGAAAAGTAAAAGAAATTAAATAAAGAAACAAACTTGCACATCTTGAAATAGATTGTTTACCTTTCTCACAACTCCTTGGGGTAATTTTCGAAGTACCAGGGCAGGGACTTAGTTTTGTCTTAGCATATTTAGTGTTACAACTCTTTGGTGATGCCACATAGTTAACATTTGGATTCACATTTTCTATGTCATGTCTTCTCTTTAGACTCTTACTCTAAAAAAAAAAAGGTTTTAGTATATAAAAAATAATACTTAAACCATTCAAAACTCTTTAAATTAGAAATCCATTATGTAACTGTGATACTATTAATGGCTTAATTAATAATATGTAAAGTAGATTTTATAAGTTACACTTATTAAATATGTTAACATCTACCTTAACTCTATGTTACAACTTACAATAGTTTCACATTGTATTTCACTATCATCTTGTTCTAATAAACTGACACCCATTTCTTGCAGAACCTGAAAACACTCCACAACATTATTAAACTTGATCCAAATTGAGAGCTAAATATTATCAGTATTAGACATGCAAACAGGGTCATATTGAATTCAGTTATATGGCCTATTTATTAACATCCCCTATTTAATACTACAGTCAAGCAGTACACCCCAAGTAAAAAAATATAGTTATTGAAATAGGACATGTAACATTACACATACAGAAAGAATTACGAGACCGGGAGACGGTATACTCTTAGTATTTTAGTAGAAGGGTTGAAATGCGTATATTATCTTTTTTTACTACAAGTAAGTTGATGTTATAACCAAAAACGGCAAGGGCGGAAAAAGCGGGAATCAATAGAAATACTTACTTCTGTGTCCGTCCTACGGTCCATCAGGCTCCAGCTCTTTCGCGCCGAGTTTTCTAAACGCATTCGTTTCCTAAAACCACACACTTTTTCTTTAAAATCAAAGGGAAATTATATAAAAATGAAATAATGACACGTTATGCTTAATTCGCGCCTTTCAACTTTGGCGCCCTAATCAGCTGTCACAAACATATGAGAAGAGCAAGAATTGTTTTTTATGAAGTTCATTGGAAATTATAACTGTACCGTGGGCTAAGAATTTCTTGAGTAGGAGATAACGTTTGGCAATCTTCATCAACAGCACTGGCATTCATTATAATTTCTTAATAACTAATAAATTTAATATAAAAGTCATAAAACTTGCACTCGGCAGCAGTTATACAAACTCACGAAAAATTGACAGAAGTTGCTATTTGCTAAAGAAGAAGTACACAGATATTTAATAAAAATATTCTCGAGTGACAAGACACGACAGATGTATGAATAGACAAACCAGACAAACGTCAAACACCATAGACAAAGTGTTTTGTTAATTGTTTGACACTTCAATCTTCATGTAGTAGACGTCGATCGGTAAATTATATTTTCTTCGATAAACTTCGAATTTTTGCTTTTTTTTACTAAAGGATAAAGTTTTTAGAAAAGTTATCCTTAAATAAGCTACGATTTTATTTTACACTCCTGTTAAAACTAATTGCCGTATTTCGATATTCAATATCTAATATTTCAATTTCCCGGGTTCTTGATATCAGTAAAACTATTTTTTCGGACCAATCACTTTCTAGCATTAGCTTCTCTATTTAGGTACCTTAAATCTTATTGGCCGGAAAAATCGAATGATAGCCAGTAGCCACGCACGAGAAATCAGACGACTGTCAATACAAAATTTGCGCTATAAACATCAGAAACATAACAAAGAGACTAGTGAAAAGACGAAAGGGGATAAACGTTAGATCGTTTATCCTTATACAAATTTTACAACGCAGCAGTTCTCGAATTTTTATTTTAAGTGAAAATTCGATAGAAATAGTTATCTTATAAAACAAGTGTAAAAAAATCAAGAATGGCGACGCGAAAGTTAAATACCCTGGAGGATTTGAGTGGTAAGTTTTATTCAACGTAAATAAACAATAATTGATTTGAGCATGGCCTATGACTAATACGAAATTTACGTTTCTTATCAAGGATATCGTCTTCGCGCGGCTTATAACTATTTATAGCATGGGTGAACAAATTTAAGATATACTTTCAACTGCGCAGTTGTTTTAGCACTTCTGCAACAGATGGGCTTTGTTTACTTCCTTTGTCCTTGGAATACTAGGTATTTAAATACGTTTCACGTTCTAATGCCGAGGTTAAGTGCTTAAATGAAAACATTTACCTTTTATCGATTAAAGATAATGTATATTAAAATGATGTAAACTGGAAATATTTCGTGTTTAATCACCGAGTAGGTACTTAAGATTGTGAAAGCGGTTCTTGTACCTATACAATAACAAAATGTCATAATCTGTCCTAGAAAGTACATTTAGTCAATAATTGTATAAACATGTTTATACTAACCCATATCTGACGATAAAACTAAAGAAAGCATATTAAATATTGAGCCATAGTTTTTTAATATAACAGTAAAGCTGTTTTTATATGGTGTGTTAAATGCAAATAAGTATAGGGCTATGCAACTATGCTAATTTGTAGACATACTATGGGAGCTAAAACCTCCCAATCGCTCATGGGGCTGACATCTCCTTGATAATTGAAATCTGTATGATTTTGTAAAACATGCCTTAAAAATTCCTGGCCCATAATATATTCTTAATATTTTCTTTATTATTTTGTATAATGAAAACAAATATTTGAAGTCCATAGGGAACTTACTACTCTTGGAACACAATTTTAGCTAAGTACAGTGTAGATAAAAACAAGGCCATTGTGTTATCAGTACAAACATCATACGATTGTATTATGTAAATGTAAAAATGGGGATTAGCTATCTATACTCAAACATAGTTCAGGGTAAATTAAAGTTTAGACTTGACTGATAATGTTATTAGATTGTAATTTTCCAATTTTAATATACATGTGCTGTATGTGGGGAGTAATTACTATTAGGTTAATTTCATATCTATTAAATTAAGATCTATTTTACCTTAGCTATTTTACAAAATTTTATGAATAGTATATTAAGGGTCCGTTTCACAATGTATGGATAAGTTCTACATAAGTTCAAAATTATTTATTTATTACTTATTGGTAGGATAAACACTAATGTTGCGTTTCACGACTGTCAGATAGCGCTATTCCTCACATAAAGTCCATCATAAGTTATGAGTGTCAAATAGCACAATTTATCTTCCAAATAATTTATGTGTTGCATCGCTATTTGGTACTTTATCCATACATTGTGAAACAGACCCTAAATGTTTAAGCACTTGCTTGCTTCTTAGTGTATATTTAAGTGATAGTTACTTGAAATAATGCAAGTTAAAAACTTAACTAGTATTTCCTTAGAGAGTGCTTTATAAATCTCCTGGTTACAATATTATGTCAACTCAATAAAGGAGGACAACTTGGAGTAATTGGAAAATTACGCTGACATCATACAATTGAAAGCTTGAGATTTGCTGGGGGTGACACGTGATATGGTTCATTGATCTATTTTATTTATAACCATGTCAGATGGTTGTTTATTTTAGTAAATTAAATGCAAACATTTAATATTATTAAATGTATACAGAAGGCTGATCACCTACTTGCTGCTTTATAAGCACCAGAGTTTATATAATACTATCATTTATTTATTCATTTATCAAGACAATTTGGTGGTAAAATCAAACATATACCATGGGCTTAAACGTATCATGTAAATAATATAAATCTAAAATAAACTTGCGTTCGTTGACTTAGGTTTTAGTAATTAATGTAAAGTATTATGTTCTTTAATGATGAATATTCAAATTAATAATGTTTATTATAGTGTTAAGTTCATGAGACGAGTATCGTGGTATGCTGATAACTTATCAACTCTATTAGTGTCTGTCAAATATAGTGTTTAACATTATAAGATAAATTATTTGTATACAAATTATGTATCATTAGTGAACTAAACACAAACTTTTCGACAGACAGAAAGTCGAATAATGAAGTACACGCTTATTGTTACTAGTGTCAACAATCTTTTCAATTGTAAAAAATCAATTAAAATAAGATTATATTAAAATTTAATTCCGCCAGAGTTCATAGGCAAATTTTAATATTGATAACAATGTCCCATCTGGATAAATGCTTGAAATAAAATGTCCAGTCAACGATGTCACACAACAGACAAAGGAAACTATTTTTGCAATCATTGGTTCGCATATTACATGATTATAATATACTAACAATTATAGAGAAAGTACCATTTAAAATTTAAAGACTTTATTGTGTATCCATATATTTTGCGCATGCGTAACCAAACTCGCGACTCCTAAGTACCAGGCGTCAGACCGTGTTAAAAGCATCCCCAAACAAAGGGTTTAATGACCTCAGTCGAGACGTCTAGGTGCACGACCTTCAAGGTGATTAATACTTGGCTTGAATGCACTTCTAGTACTTATCATTTACTTTATACGACATTTTAATGCTATTAATAATATTTGCGAAGCTAGCTCGATTTTAACATGTGATCTTAGTTTTTTAACACCAATATGGCCATAATCCAGACATTTCTTTCCTATGAATCTTAATATTGCTCGAATGTTCTATTGTCTATGTGTAGTAAGACTAGTTATGTACATATTACGCCACGCTGTGTGTATTGGAAAATGACAACACGTGTAATCATTTTATGACGGATTACTTGTAATTATACACCTGCTACTTAATGATCACATTATACCGAGCATTGATTACAAGTAAGTTTTTAGTATAAATGATATATTGTGGGTAAAATATCGTTGGTAGAGTATCGTAGAGTACCATCGTGAAAGTTCAAATTTTTAATTCGCGATCTACAGTCAACGCACGCTGATTTGTGATCACGCTCGCACGGCTTGTTAACTTAGTAGGGAAGAGGTGTTGATAAACTATCAACTGTCCCTTACGTTCATTTTGTTGATGCCGTAACTATATATTGCTAAAGTATATACATTTTGAGCAGAAGGTTAAAAAGTTTATACAAATGAACAGATGTTTTGAGTAAGCTGTGTTCAACATATTCATGAACATAGTAAGTTAAAATGTTATATTTACATCGGGTTACTTGTCGCAGGCTTTCGATAACATTTTGCAATAGTTTTGGGCGTTATCTTATCGCTGTTGTTAATTCGTTCCTTTATTGTTTCGTTATCTAAATTGAATTTGTTATTTTAAGTTTATTGATAGCACAATAAAAGTAATCCCCTTTTGACCTATAAAATTACTTATCATATTTTGTTTAATATGCCTATGTCAAGACTTCCTAGTCTTGTTTTTGAATTATTAATTTTAAAATCGGAAGCAAAATTTATTTTTTGATAATAACACAGGCCATGTGCATGCGCTGTGTTGTTGGTGGTTCGCCAAACACACCTCCTTCCTACACGTGCGGTAGGAATCATTATTTATGTCTCTGACGTCAATTGCTTTATTGGAAAATGATATCATTCGAATGCGTTTCATCGTTCCTTCATCCCTCCGTTCCTTCGTGTAGGCCTAGTGGTTTCAGCGTACGACTATCATCTTTGAGGTCGTAGGTTCGAACCCTGGCTGTGCAACAAATGGATTTTCTGTCTATGTGCGCCAGCGTTGCCAGATTTTTTTATTGCCAAGGCGGGATTTTGGAACTTTTTGAGTTAAAAAAGCGGGAATCTCTCGTCGAAAGCGGGACATGGTAACTAAAGGTGATATTTTAAATCAGATTTACCCTTTCGTTAAATACTTGTCTTAATAAAAAATAAACAAAACTAAACCAAAAAAAGTATTCATTAGAGTTTAGACAATTATGGCGTTTCAAACAATCGTCAGAACTCTGAGGAATGAGTATATTATATACCTGGTATCTTTTTTCGGTAGCTGTTAAAAGAGCTGGTGCCATTTCTGAGCAGTGGTGTCTTGAGTGACAGTTGAGTTAACTCCAAAAAGCGGGAAAAAGTCTGTCCCGCGCGGGGCATTTCATTTTCATAAAAAAATCGGGACGTATGGCAACGCTGATGTGCGCATTTAATTTAATGAAAAAAATCATCGCGAGGAAACCGGCATGTGTGCAAAAAAACGTACGAAAAAGGTCAGAATTCTGAGGCCCAGACCTAAAAGGTTGTAGCTTCATTGGTTCCTTTTTTTACTTTGAAAACGG